GCAACTTGTGGAAAAAGTGTAATTTTCTACTTATGTACTGTACAGTACGTATAGATATATAAAACAACAGACAGTTTTTCTTTTTAAATTTATTGGCTTACGAATACATGTTTAAACATCAAATGTCATGACAGCATTACTTTCCAACCACACTTGCCCCCTTAAAAAGAAACAAAGAATCTTAAACAGTAAATTTGTTACTATGCTATACAAGGCTATACTAAAACACCATTGTCACATGGTGAGAAAAATGTGCAGCACGTGCAAATGTCTAACTCGGGACGCTCGGAATACCGTTCTGCAGCTCTACTGACTGAGCAAACGACCGCTTACACATGTTCCCTAAAAAGTGAACAGTTCCGAACCTTGAAATATTGAAATTCGTCCCCGAATATCTCAGGGTTACAGAGCATTGTAAATTGAACCCTGAGCTATATTCAGTCACAGCCCCCGTTAGGCGACAAATGTCACAGGGTGAGAAAAACGTGCAGCCTGACCGGGACCCGAACCCGGGACACTCGATATACCGTTTCACGACTCTAACAATTGAACTGTCCGGCCGCTTACAATTCATCTTCCCTAAACAGTGAACAGCTCTGAACCGTGACACCATTATATGTGTTCATTGGTATACAAAAACAGTACATTTTTACAGTGGTATACACAATCAGTGCATTTTTTTACAAGAGGGCCATGATGGCCCTGAGCCGCTCACCAAAAAAAACTGCTTTTTAGTGTTGGAAATTATCCATTGTCAATATTTTCTTATATCAAATTTGAGCATAGAATATGTTTAAACTATAATTTGAAGAAATGTATGGTGTCCTTATCGTGCCATTTAGAATGTCGTCCGTCGCGTCTAAGGGTAGACACACGACAATGCGAAGTGACATCGCGACAATGAGAAGCGACGCTCGACAACGCGAAGCGATATGCGACAATGCGAATCGACGCTCGACAGTGTCAAACGATATGTCGCACTGTCGCCTAGAAATGTCGCGGTAAAAAAGGGCGACATTTAAGAAATGTCGCTTCGCGTTGTCGAGTGTCGCTTCGCATTGTCGAGCGTCGCTTCGCGTTGTCGGGATGTCACTTCGCGTTGTCGCGATGTCACTTCGCGTTGTCGCATTGTCACTTCGCATTGTCGAGTGTCGAGGTTGGTAGAAGTGCATACCACGACACTCGACAATGCGAAACGACAACGCGACAATGCGATACGACGCTCGACAATGCGAAGTGACACTCGACATCGCGAAGCGTCATTTTTAAAATGTCGAGTAAATGTCGCGTTATTTTTATGATTTTTACACCGCGACGCTCAACATTTGCGAAGCGACACTCGACAATGCGAAGCGACACTCGACAACGCGAAGCGATACTCGACAACGCGAAGCGACACTCGACAATGCGAAGCGACATTTGGAATAATATCGTATCGCATTGTCGTGCGTCTACCGGTGCTTGGTCAGAATTTACTAACTCACCGACAAACGGTTTGATCATGGAAGTAAAAATGATCGCACCGTTTGTCGGTGAGTTAGTAAATTCTGACCAAGCACCGGTAGACGCACGACAATGCGATACGATATTATTCCAAATGTCGCTTCGCATTGTCGAGTGTCGCTTCGCGTTGTCGAGTATCGCTTCGCGTTGTCGAGTGTCGCTTCGCATTGTCGAGTGTCGCTTCGCAATGTTGAGCGTCGCGGTGTAAAAATCATAAAAATAACGCGACATTTACTCGACATTTTAAAAATGTCGCTTCGCGATGTCGAGTGTCACTTCGCATTGTCGAGCGTCGTATCGCATTGTCGCGTTGTCGTTTCGCATTGTCGAGTGTCGTGGTATGCACTTCTACCAACCTCGACACTCGACAATACGAAGTGACAATGCGACAACGCGAAGTGACATCGCGACAACGCGAAGTGACATCGCGACAACGCGAAACGACGCTCGACAATGCGAAGCGACACTCGACAACGCGAAGCGACATTTCTTAAATGTCGCCCTTTTTTACCGCAACATTTCTAGGCGACAGTGCGACATATCGTTTGACACTGTCGAGCGTCGCTTCGCATTGTCGCATATCGCTTCGCGTTGTCGAGCGTCGCTTCGCATTGTCGCGATGTCACTTCGCATTGTCGTGTGTCTACCCTTAGACGCGACGGACGACATTCTAAATGGCACGATAAGGACACCGTAGAAATGCCTTGACCTGGGGCATTTAAGCTTTAGCTTAAACGAGGCTCATCAATTTAATATGATCAAGACTACGCAAGAATTCTACGAAGTTTGGTGATCAACTATCAATTATTTCAGTAGGAAATGTTGTTCAAAGTTTTTTTCTATTTTTAGCTTTAGCGGCCCCTAAAAGGGGCCAATCAAATTGATATGAGAAAACTTGATTAAAGACTACCAAAAGATGCTACAAACAAAAGTTGGGGATCATCCATCAATTAATTCTGTAGAAGAAGATGTTTATAGGTTCTACTATTTTTAGCCCTAGAGACCCCTAAAAGGGGCCAATCAAATTAATATGAGCAAACTTGATAAACGACTACCTAAGAATGCTACAGACAAAGTTTGGTGACCATCCATCCTTTAGTTCTGTAGTTGAAGATGTTTAAAGGATTTTCTATTTTAGCTCTGTTGACCCCTAAAAGGGGCCAATTGAAATGACGTGTGCAAATTCAAATGTGACTGTCACAAGGATGCTACGGACCAAATTTGAAGTAAATCTGCCCAGCAGTTTCAGAGAAGAAGACGATTGTTGACGCATGACGACGGACGACGGACGCCAGAGCATCCCCCTTTATACTAATAGCTCACCCTAAACCTTCGGTTCTGGTGAGCTAACAATGGTAAACTCAATCAGTACCTTTGTTACAATGGTTAACCAAATCAGTACATTTGTTACAATGATAAACAAATATATAATATGATAGTTATCATGTGAGATATATTTGCGTCCATTAAATATACTTACCTAAGCAACATTTCGCATTATTGTATGCAGACTAAAATGCGTTAATAATCATTTGTAGAATAACAAATTTAGAATTGCACTAATAGTAGGAAAACTTTTCTTTTTAATTAGTGATGGCATAAAGTTGGTCTAAATTCGAATTAATGTTAAACTGAAATAAAAAAATTCTTACATGCTTGCAATGGTCAGGGACGTCGAAAACGCCATCATAACTATTTCTTTGCTGGACAATGTCAGCAAATTGAGCAGTCTCTGAAATCTTTGTACCTATTGTGTGAAAAAATAAACTGTTACGTGAGAATTGATATGAAAATGCTCGATGTTTGAATCTTTTTAATAATGTTTGAAACGTCGCACCAACACAATAAAGGTCATATTGCGATCTTTCAGCTTTACTGATGGAGGAAGATTGCATGTGCCCCTCTGTACATATTTCAGACACAAACAAGCACCTGAGTAGAACAACCGACGTTCCGTAAGCTCGCTGCATAGCGCGGCTTGAACCTACAGAATTGAGAGGCAAATTGTTTGAAGTCATCGACCCTAACCAATCGGCGATAGACACCCATATACTTTAATCAAATCCCTTGCTAAAGGTAGTGTTTACTGCTTTGCCGCAGATGTAAAAGGTTGCCTGACATTTTATCCTAGCATTCATATATCTTTATTGACATTCAAAATCTTTGGTTTTACAACACTTGATTGTTGACTAATGCTTAAGTCAGTCAGCGCCTCTAGGCGCAAACGATCGTGTACAGACTGAAACAATGCCTTCGATTTCCTGTTATTTTTGATAGATATAATCATTTTTATAACGTGAATCTTATCGTTACACATTTACAATACATCTTATTCAAACCATTTATATAAATTCCATATAGAAAACGTTTTGTTGACATAATTTTCCATTCAATGTATGTTAAATGGACTATAAACATTGTTTAAGCTTTTTAAAAGACGGTTCCCCCAAACTGTTTCACAATAATATTGTAAACGCTTTAGTTTTTATTCCATGTACAACATTATCATACTAACCATCTGGTTGTGTACCAAGTATTGTGTAAGAAACTGTCGTACAGTCATTTACAGTAGTAGCATATGTCCATGTTTCGTTCAGAACTTTTCCTGACCAACCATTTATCTGCATTGATTGGCTTCTAGAGCCCATCGTGTATGTTCCGATAAGAGTCAGGGATTCTTAAACTACATGGTTATGAATTAATCAATTTGTTTCAAATAAAAGTAACGTGAAATTTACACAGGCTATTTAGCAGAACTTAGTTCTTAACTTAATTCTTCCGACATCAGTCAATGGTCAGAACAGCAGTTTTATATCTTTCTAATCCAATCTTTTATAAAAAGGTTAATTACAACCTTTGACGAAGGCTATTGTTTCTTTTTGTGTGTGTATTGTATCCATTTCTTTCTGCGTGCTTTTTCTTGGCGTTTAATGTTCCTTAATTTAGAAGATATCTGAACGACGACTTGATATTTTCTTGCAACACCAAGTTCTATATTTATATACACGCTTAGAAGCTACAAATTATTAAAATAGAATAGAGCTTACTCGGCACGCATCCGTCCGGCATCTGTTCGTCAACAATGTGCTCAACATCACAATGGATATTATTAAAGTAGTACTTTTTCATCTATAGAATTAAAAATAAAACAGTTTACACTAAATACTCCTCTAGTTTTGCTACCAACATCTTTATAGATACACACGAAGATAAGAGTTTTGAAAGAACAGAATTATACTTCAATGGCATAGAAGCCGAAGCTATGGCACATTCATTTTTAAGCATCACACTAAATACCTTATTCCGGTGTATACCAGACAAGGCGCTTGAATTACCCAACGGAATGAACTTTAAAACGTCTTATTCATCTCTTAATACCGATTTATTGCGACATAATGAGTGAAAAGTGTACGAATCGACAAAACAAGCGATATTTTCTTCTTTGTTATCATGTTTCTGCAAGCGTCCAGAGGTACTGCTCAAATACTGTAGTGAGTTAAAATTCACTGAGCCAAGAAATAACGAAACAAAACAGCACTTCTTTTATCAATTATTAAAATTCGAATATTTAAAAAAAAATGTTTCTTTGATACAAACATACATGGTTAAAGTCACGTATGACTTGGTACACCTCCAATACTTCCCCGGATACAGTTTCCGTTATTTTTGTTCCATTTACGGCGTGCAACTTCCGGTCATAATCGCTATCAACTTCAAAGCTGTCCTGTGTGAAAAGCACAATCAAAACTAGACAACAGATGGGATAGATATATCGTTATCATGAGCTATCAATAGTGTACAGAGGGATATATTAACGTCACTTCCGGTTTGAGGTCGCACCTGCATAAGAGGTAGCAACTCTTTTATCTGTGTGATACAGGTTTTGTAAGAGTAATACTAAGACTATTACCGATACTGCAATGCGTTAATTATGAAAGTAAACTAACTTAAGTTTGTTTTACACGATCAAAACTAAAAATTGGTACGTGAATATGATGGTCCCTGACCTTTAACGGTTTCCAAACATAACACGTATTGTTAACTGGCGATGTTTTTGATGGAAACCATAGTTTTGAATTGATATTGACATAAAAAAATTGAAATATGCGCCGAGCTGAAATCTTTAATTTTTCATCGTTTTTGGTCCTGATCAAATGGCAAAATATTGTGGAAACGTATTTTTTATAACTTAATGCATACAGAATATATTCATATGAAAAGGTGTACCTGAGACATCGATGGAGTACTGCTACCCGGCTTCAGCGTTGCCTTGACAATAAAACCTTTCCCGAAAAATTTCTTACTCAAGCAGCAATGCTGGGCGTCGACTATAGTGTAACCAATGAAAACAGCAACAACCGAGATCACATTAAAAGTTAAATACATATTCAATTTTCAGTGAAATGACTTAAATATTAACAGACTGAATGACAAACGCACTATGAAATCCTAGTTTTATCTTACGTCACTTGGTATGTTTCTCACGCGCTTATGATCATTTATCATGATCATTAAGCGAAAAAAGGTCATGTAAATGAAACGAAGGTACATGTGCACTATTATTGACAATAATGTTAGTAAACTACCTACATGTTTCCAAAGACAATGGTAAGATATGGGTGTACAAGAAAGCTATTTCTAGATAATTATAAAGAATATAAGAAATTTATATAAGAATTGAAAACTAAACAAGCAAATAAAAATTATTTACATTGCTAAAAACCAAAACAACAACAACCAAAAGACCCTAAAACAACAAAAAATTACCCCCCCCCCCAAAAAAAAAAAAAAAAAAAAAAAACCCACACATCATTCACACATGTATATTACTTTTCTAAAGAATGTATGATACATAAAATACTCGATGGTCGTATGCAAAGCCATATTTTTATCAAATATTGGTGAATACAATGCTGAATTCTATCGGACGAGTACACCGCTATCAAACTTATATTGGACGAGGCAATAGCCGATTCTAATATAGGTTTTGCAGCTCTTTACGAGTCCAAAGAATCAGTATTGTTGTTAATAATCTATAATGACAATTTTATTTCAAATCAGCATTTTTTGACATTAAAAAAAAACTTTGTAACTTTAAGTACAATAAGGATTTGATGTGAATATTGAAATGAAAACGAGGCTAGATGAAGTAGTATGTTTATTTGATATCAATATTTTGACACTAAAAATGAATACGAGGCTATGTTGAGTGCGTGCGATATGCATTTGATATAGATATGTTTGACTCTGAAAACGAAATAAAGGCTACAGGGTACGATATGCATTTTATATGGAATCTTTGTACTCTAGAAATGCAAACGAGGTTTAAGTGATTAAGATTGGATCCAATAATGATTTCAATGGGAAGATCAGATGGTTCAAACGCTGAAAGTTCATTGGTTACAATTTATAACGTGTTAATTTAACATGGGCCAAGTATCTCTATTTAGGTTGAGACCGATCTTTTGATGTACAATATGGACTTTTTATTGTACAATACACATAGCAATAATATATGTATTATTTTTCCGTCATCGACATTTTTTCCAGGTTGAAATGAAAAAAAATCTACATTTCTTACTTTTAAATATTTCGTAAACAAGTTCACAAGGGCGACAGTAATCTTATCAGATGCCCAACAAAAGCTCCCACTTTCCTACTATTCTGCTGATAGTGAAAACTCAAAATGTTTGATGTCACTATGTCAGCGTAAAGAACAGTTTTACTGACCGGTGAATGATTTCTATTTTTACTGTGATGTACAAGGTGTGGCTTATGGTAAACAACTAAATTTAACTTTAACATACCACGTGTCTGTTAAACGTTTCAGTAGGATCACAAGTTATTGGAGTGGGACCAAGCCATACCTCAAGGACCCTTACACAATTTTTAAAAAGATTATTACTGCTTGTAAGAATTGTACGCTTTGTATTGAAATGTACTTTTGAATGATAAATTTGTGTTTTGGAGTTTGAAGGATATTTTGATAGTGAAAAGGGTCCTAGGGATCTCTTGTGGTATATTCAAGTTATATTGACCTACTGTCTTATCATACTTCCCATCTGTGCACAGTTATTTCAAAATTCTTTGATGCATAACAGTGTTAAGGGCGGGAAAAGATTTTCCAACTGCTGGCCTTTGACCTCTTAGTGCGACTTTGACCTTTGAACTAGCGGTCTTGGTCTTGTTCATGACACACTAATTCATCGCGTTATGGGTCAGACAAGATTTCGTTACTGCCTATCTTTGACATCTGAGTGTGACCTTGACCTTGGAGGTAGGGGCATAGGTCTTGCGCATGATATCGTGCAACCATGTAACACACTTTTGCCGAAATGTTTAAAATCCCATAATGCCGGGGCCCAATAAGGTTTTCGAACACACGCACGCACGACCGAATAGGGGCAACGCTTTATGCCTGCTTTCCATTTTTATAGCGGGGCCATAAAGCAAGAACGTTGTAGGTCATGTATATAGACGGCCACTGGTAGAAGTTAAACAACATACAGGTATTTTTTACCCGAAAAACGTCAACGTATTATAGATGATAAATATTACGGTTGGCAATCTAATTGCTTTGGGCATTTAGGCACTATTAGGTTACTATTGTTACAGTTTGGGTCTCATATATATGTCATATGATTCTGTAGATTAGGTTTATAAGTGCGTCGACTGAGGATTGAGGGTTGTAAGCTGGACTGACGGCGGGCATTTACTGGAAAATATATATAAAACAATATATATTTTGCAATCATTTAAATGTATTTCTCAATCGAATGTACAATTCAATGATAACATGGTAGTCTCATCGATATTGTCAATGTAAACAATGAACAAATATGGCGACGTATATAGTTTACACAAAGACGCATAGAAAAACATCTTCAAAAGCATTATTTACGAAACAGATTTACATATTAACATACAATATTGTAGAAACATGTATATCAAACTCGATGCTATAAAAATTACCTGGAAAATATATATAAAACAATATATATTTTGCAATCATTTAAATGTATTTCTCAATCGAATGTACAATTCAATGATAACATGGTAGTCTCATCGATATTGTACATTGCGATTGGTCAATACAGTCAAATATCTAGCATAACAATAGAATCAGGTGTAAAGTGCACAGTTAGAGAGATAGATAAATAGAATGTTACCTGAAACGGCATCCTACATACTATGCTACGGCCTACAACTACATAGTCTAGTTACGGCTACAAAGATGCTTTAATGATTGGATAATATATTTGAGGGAAAAATCAAATACAAAACAAATTTAAATACTGTTTCAGGATTTTATTTATATTATCTATAGTAATTGAAGCACCTGTAACACATTACCCTCCTTTAAAAATGTCGTCCTCGACATTACCAGTGAAAATATAGCAACGAGGTATAGATACAATGCGTTTATTACAAATTCGCGCGTCCGATATGTTACCCATAAATAAAGGTGACATGAATATTGTAGAAACAAGTTCAATGCTATCAAGTGTTATCGTTGTATTTATTCAAACATTATGGACAATATTACAAATGAATTTGTAATATACATGTAACATTCAATTCAATTAAAGTAATAACAACATTATATAAATGAAGTTAACAACTGACATAAGATTGCTCTTGTAAGATAGCATGTATTAGAAACTTTATAAATCTACAATATGAGTATCAGGATTTTGGTACATAGTATTATCATAATAGGTGTTGGCTGATATCTATAGAAGAACAACGCGGTCCCGTGGTACGGTAAACGTATGTTGACCTAACATGAAATCTCCCGAGGTCATCCAACCTGGTTTCTGCCGTGTTCTGCGAGGAAGAAGTCCGGGTTCATTTGGTCCTCGTCTGTGCGGAGGTCGATATCTGTCTGAAGAGGATGAACAGCTGTTACAATCTGAAAAAGAATCAGAGAAAACAATATTAATTTTATCACCGTTATCTTTTTCAGGTTCAGATGAACTTTCATCAGTGTGGTCAGAGATAGGAGTCGGCAAGCTGGTAAATGGTAACAACATGTTTCTATGAAGAACACGTGTTTTTCCTTCACCATCTTCTCTTTTTACAGCGAATACCGGCAGATCTTCATTTGGCTGTTTTTGAATGATGTAAGGTACTTCTTCCCAAACATTGGCAAGTTTTTGTTTTCCCTTGAGTCCAACATTTCTGACCAGAACACGATCTCCAGATATGAGTTTACATTCTTTGACCTTTTGATGTAGTATTTCTTGCCCCGTTTTCCACTTCTGATCGCTGCATCGTTTGCCCTTTGGTATGCGTCGCAAAGCTGTTGTTCTAGTTTCTGCATATAATCAGATGGAGAAGTTCCGCTGATATGTTGACGTTTGAGACCAAGAAATGCATCGATTGCTAATCTGGGTGGTCTACCAAACATCACTTTATACAGTAGATTGGTAATTAATTGAAGAGAGAAAAGACAACAATAAAGAGTAAGTAATCATACGAGCTATGATCAAGAAGTTCTCGGCTCGATATACTTCTAGCCACTACAATGACATCTACACACGATACGTCGATACCGAAAAAAATGAAGATTACTGACCGATATACACGCGGTTTTACATCTGTCAGATTAAGTAACATAAAACATAAAACTTTGATCAGTAGAGGGGTATGTCATTTAGACCAAATGAAGCAAGTTGAAATCAGAGCCGTTACGAAGTACCCCTGTAAGAAAGTAATGTCCCCCAAGGAAATCCATGAAGACTTCGTGGATACATTGAGAAGGAGTTCCCTTCCTTCAGCACTGTGATAAAATGGACTGCTGAATTTAAAAGGGGCAGACAGAGCATTGGAGATTATGAGGGGCCTGGGCTGCCAAAAGAGGCCACCAACGATGAAACAGCCGAAGCTGTGCACGATCTGGTCATGTGCGACAGAAGGCGAAGCATGGCTAGGGAAGTGGGCATAAGCTTTGGTTCAGTTCAGGCAATTCTGACAGATGTCTATAGCATGTTATATGTTTCCGCATAGATGACCCTAGCAGTTGACTGTCGACCAGAAACGGACCAGGCTTGACATTTCTTTCAAGATATATTTTGTCTCGCTATTAGGATGAACCTGATTTTATCAATCGGATCGTAACTCAGGATGAACATGGGTCCATCACTTCGATTCAGAATAAAAAAAAACAGAGCATGCAGTAGAACCGAACTGGTTAAACCACTCCGAAGAAATTCAAGAGGGCGCCATCAGCAGGGAAGATGATGGCTTCAATTCTTTGGGATAGTCAGGGGAAAATCATCATTGACTATCTTGAGCAAAGTCATACCATTAACGGTACGTACTATGCAGACGAATTGAGACGTCTGCGTCAAGAAATCGCACATAAAAGAAGGGGCGAAATGACTTAAGGTGTTCTGATCCTGCACGACAATGCGCCAGCTCACTCATCCCAAGTTGCGATGGCTGCTGCAACTGACTGCGGCTTTGAAATTCTTCACAATCACCCATATTTTTCGGACTTGTCCCCCTCTTACTTCAACCTGTTTCCGAAACTGAAAATCAAGCTTCGTGGTAGACGATTTGGAAGCAATAAAAGTGTCATGGAGGCGGTCAATGAGTTCTTTGAGGACCAAAATATAGAGTTCGATTTTGAAGGGTTAAACAATTTTGGGCACTGGTGGGAAAAGTGAATTGATATAGAGGGCCATTATATTGAAAAGTAAGACAACTTTTTATCAATCCTCGTAACTTTAATGTAAATTATTCAAAAAATCTTACTAACTTAATCTTAATTTATCTCTACCGAAGTTTTCCGTATGATATCATCAAATGTAAAATCAATATATATATCGCAACCGTTAGTGGAAGTAAATTAGGAAAGTAAAGTCATGAAAAGAATTATTCATTCCAATATTTAAATTGAAGCAATCCTCAACCTTACTTGTTCCATTTCTTATTCAGCAAACTGATACAAATATTGATTATGCGTTTCACCAGTTTTGAAAATTTATTGTCATGAACATGGCCAAGACAACTTTAACAACATACACTAGTTTGGAAGTAGTGACACAGCAATTCATTGTATACCTCCGAAAGATGTAAAACGGTTGTTTACCAGGCAGTATATACAATCTATATAATATGCATAACATCACACAGGAAATACAAGAAGGTAATATAGAGTTTGTATATTTGATATTATGCAAATTCTTAAGCAGATTCTATTGACAAATTATTTTCTTGTTTTAAATGCAATTTTAAAATTATATAACTTTATGTTTACAAATTTTATACCTGCTAATCTAAATGTTTGACCCACAGGACAGGGCTTACTTATCACTGTTGGAGATAAAAAAAGATGCCATATGCATCAAAGATGTTGGGCGGGACTGATTTTGAACCCAAGGGCATAATTTCGTTTAAGACCACAACTTGATGTCACAAGCAAATATACATGTATAAGCACTTGGCATTGTAGTTTCATTAGATTAATAACACACTTATATAATAAAATGTTATGCAACATATAATAAAACTAACTGACCCTCATGGTAGAGATATGTTTCTTCACGGGCATTATTGTACCACTTTTGTAAATCAAAGGCTAATAAATTACTTTGCCTTTTTTATATAGAGGATTGAAACAGGTAGTCAGTCATACCGAAGAGGAAAACGGATAAGTTGCAAATCAATATATCATAAAAAAAACGTGGGGTTGCTAAGAGTTACAAGACGGCAATGAGGACATTATATCATTCATACAAAACCCTTAGGCTAAAAAAATGTGGAAAAAGACATAGCGCAACATTGTAGGTCATCAAATTTAGAACACTACAGTCTCTTACTAGTAGTCAAAATTTAGTAAAACAAAACCAGTGAAGATTTGTTTTGTTTTAGTTGGTTTTAACTGCACATCGACAAAATATAGGTCATATGGCGCTGAAAAACAAGTGAAGTAAAGGAGTAGGGCATGCATTTGTCATAAAACAAGTTTAACAGTTCTAATATTAGCCTGTTTAAATTCTTCGTGACCTTTGAAATGAATAATTTGAGTTCTTAGAACGTGCAGCGACAGGACAAAATGTTTCCTACATTTACCCCTCACCCTCAAATCTTGTATTTGTTGGGACATTATATAAGATTGAAATTAGCAGACAATCATAAAGAATGCCATTTTCAATGGATACTCATTTTCTATGAACTACATGTACTGAAGTTACATCTGTGTAACACTTGTGATGCTAGTTTTAATCCTCACCCGTTTGCTGGAACCGAAAGTGAATAACGTTTGCCACTTAGGTTTTCTGCTGTTGGCTGACTATCTTTAAATTTTTATCTATATTTCCTAAGAGTGCAATTCTGAAGGGCTTATGCCATTGTGACATGAATGAACTAGAGTTCTTATTGTATCTTTATCATTATAGTAATGTGTTTAGTTTCTCTCTCTGCCTAATAAGGAAATAATGTTTATATAAAAGATAAACAAAATATCCAAGTTTCTCAGAAGGATGAAACTGATTAAATAATGTTTCAACTTTTCTCTATTTTAAGTAATTTGTTTAGTAAAGTTCTGAGTTCTTTAAAAGTGATCAGGAAACAGTTTTTTAGGAACAGACGAAGAGACAGAGGGCAAATTTTACACCTGCCTTGTTGTAACCACAATATAACATTTTCAAAAGCAAAATTCTTGAACTAAAGAGGAGAAAGCTCTTGAAATTAAGATGCTAGACTTATGAACCTTATCATACATGTCGAGTGTGATGACAAAAAACAAAATCTTATGTCTATAGTAGATACAATTTATAGTAACAACGGCAAAAAATGAAATCAGAAATATGTTTCAAATATATAACATTTAAAGTAACAAAGAAGAAAATTAAACAACATCAACAACAACAAACAACAATTTTCAAATAAATTTCAATGGGTCATAATTCCAGAAATCGTCAAGCTACACGTTGATTCTTCTAATACATGATTAAAGTGAATATAAAGAAGATAAACTTGAAGTTTTAAGTAGATACATTAAGGAACAAAGAAGTTAGAGAAAACTTAATAAACCTTTCTTATGAAAATTCTAAATTCAAGGTTATTAATTTTAATATTTTTGGTGCTAGAGTAGTGAACATTGACATGCATGATCTCTTACTGTAATCTAGATATATTTCAAGTTTCTTAAAAATACATTCAATACTTACGTACGGTCAAACGTACGGAGGATAAACCTAAAGTCCCCTTTGGTGTGAGTGGCAGGGGACAAAAACAGGCAACATGTCATAAGGGTGATTAATTTAACAACATGACTAGAAAAAAAAACCCTCACCAAATTGGAAAGAAATGTGTCTCAAAGAGTGACCATAATTCAGACCTGAATTTCAAAGAATACTTGATGTAGTTGATGGAGATAAAATAGAGTCATAAAAACGTTAAATGTACTAGAGGTTATTGTTCTTACTTTACAGAGGGTAGACTCGGAACTTAGATATTTTTATTGGTATAATTCTAGAAATGCATGTATGAATCCAATCCATGCATTTATTATTGAGATGCAACCTGCATGCAAACTGTTAACTAGACAAAATTTAAGCATGAAAATCCCGACGCCGACCTTTATATTCGAACAGAAGTTAAAATCAAAGTATTAAACAGTTATTTCTAAAGATCTGATGCTCCAGATTCATGTCCATGGAACTCCATATACAGCGGATTCTCTGCCTGAATTTGTTTTACTGTCGTAGAACTTGTTACCTCGAGTGAACCGTTAAGACGAGTAAACCCAGACGCCTTCCGCAGTCTGTAAAGGAGGAACTTTGTAACATAAATATTTATTTTGCACATGAACTTAAATTTATTCTGAATTTGCACTAACACAAAAGTTACAATTTTGTTCAACTCACAGTTCCTCACAACAAAAAGCATCAATAGATTTAAGTCGTGTTTTCAAAAATCAGCATCAAAATGTTATCTACAGATATCTTCAATGTCTAATCTTAAACAAAATAAATTAGATACTTTGATAAAATGATGAGTTTACGATTCGTTTTAAGAACTACAATCTATGTTGTCCAAACGAACTGGAAGAAGCGTTTACGTACCTTTTCTTGACCACAACCAGAGATACTAATATTCCTGTTATCAATACAACACCGACCAATACAAAAATATACCAATGGTTCTGTGCCCATGGCTGAAATGTCATAATCAAACATTTGTGACATGAGTGACAAACACTAATTACACAGTTCTTGATAACAATACTTAGCTAAGGTGTAAAAAAAAACAAATTTAAAAGCCCATTATGCCCCGGAAATACTTTATTTCGTATTTCTTAAAAGCTTTTTAAATTTCGTGTACTTATATACTATATAGTATCCAAAACATTACTCACTGGCCAATAACCTCAACAATCTTTTTCTTCAGTAACTTTTTGGCAATAAGTACAGTGATTTTGTATTTTGTATAGAAGTCAAAATACTAATTTGTTTATAGTATGCTACTTTTGTGACGATTATTTCACATTTATCACTTCTTTCGTCAGGTAACAAGTATCAAAGTCTCTTAAACCATCATAATTTAAATATTATAAAAATCATGTTTGTCCGTTATAAAAAATGTTTTGTTTTAGCTATAAAGAATTCGATTGAAAACGGAGATTGTCAGTTTACTTACTTTACTTATTAGAAATGGACCTATAACGAACCTCAAGCCAGTACAATTTATGTGTACTTTATCTTGCAAGAAAAAGCATCTGCTACTTCTGATCATTGTACCTTTCTTTGGAGCCTATATATTTTTAACTTGTACCTGTCTTTCGCAAAGCAGACGTAATTATTTACTGTGGTGGTATTAAGGTATACTGAATTAATGCCAGCTTTGAAAAAGTTTTTGAAAACTTATATAAGTTAACATATACTTACAATACTACTTCTGGTTGTTTGTATATTCCTCCATCTGTCTGCAACCTGACTTTTTCCTAGTGGTGAAGTTGTTATGTCAGATTTTTGTACAGAATGAGGCGAATATACTTTTGACAATGTCGAATATGAGCTAGATGAAGAACTAGTCACTGAAGCATGCATATCGGATGTTGGTAAAAATGCTTTTGAAGTAACCGAAGGTACGGAAGAGGTTGAAGAAGTCCTAAGTAATGACGTTTTTATAGTTGTAGCAGTTGTGACATCAAAAGGAGGTGTTGATGAAAAAGCAAATATTGAAGACAGTAAAAGTGATACTTTGTGAGTTGTTTTTATAGAAGTCGATGAAACAGTTGTGGATGTTACTATTATTTTTTCTTCGCAAAGTTTTCCTTGAAAACCATGGTTGCACTTACACTGAAATGATCCCTCTGTATTTACACACAAGCCATTGATACATGGAGAATTCAAGCATTCATTTATATCTTTGCATCGTGGATTACTATAACCATTTTGACAGACACATTTAAATGAACCTGGTGTATTCACGCACGTTCCATGGTTACAAATACTGGCTGACAAAGAACATTCATCTTTGTCTACACAATCTGAGCCATCATATCCTGGATAGCACATGCATTTATACGACCCTGCATTGTTCACGCATGCGCTGTTATTGTTACACGGATGTTTGTCACATTCATTGGTATCTCGCGTGCAGTGCGCCCCTTGGTACCCGGCATTACACAAACACTTAAAAGAACCTAAAGTATTTTGGCACGTACCATTATGACAAGTACCAGAAGCTATCGAACATTCATTGATATCTCTACAATTGTAGTTTGAATCGAATCCAGCAAAACATTTGCACAAGAATGTACCGTCAGTCGCTGGTTGACAGGTGCCCCCATTTTCACATGGATTCAACAAGCAAGGATCCGCCTGTTTGTCACAATGAAAACCTGTATATCCTGTGTTACATGCACAGGAATACGAGCCTGGGTTGTTAACGCACGTACCATTTTGACACAAATTAGATACCATAGAACATTCGTCACGATCGGTACAATTCGGAGATATAAAACCAGCATAACAGGAACAATTATAGCCTGGGGAGCTTGCTGAAACGGAACATACGCTGTTTGGCCCACAGGTAATATTATCACAAATACTGCTTCCGTCTAAAGTCTGCAATCATAAAATGATTAAACAAATATGATTTACATTTGTACTACAGAAACCTAACAGTATGAAATACTCGTATACAAAATATAAATCCAGTTTTGGCATTTCGGAGTGTATTGCCAGCTAAATGAAATATATATGGCAACTTTACATGCAAATCGATAACATTGGCCAAAAAGTTGAAAAGATTCCATATAAAACCCTTAACAAATAAGGTACCGAACGATAAAAACAACAACAAAAACAACCATAAAAACAACCAACAACAACAAAAACAACAAAACAAAGAAACTGAACAGAAACATACCTTTGAATATAAGAAGACAATTATTATAAACCCTTTCATTTTTATAACTTTATGATACTATACATCAAATACAAATGAAATAGCAAAAGTGTCAAAGAGAGTGATAAAATAATATTTACATAATATATGTATGTTGTGATATCGATAATAAACAGGTTGGACATGTACATATTACACGATTATCAGTCATAAACAGTAGAGTTTTATCTAGGTATTGGTGTTATAAGATATGTTATCATTGTAATTATTTATTTTCAGATTGGTGTACCCGTTACGGTGAAGGAAAATCATTGTTTGCATTAATTGAATGATTATGAAAATGTTATAAAAGGTATTTATTTTACAAGCATGTACATATATCGGACCCGGAATGGGCTTCTCCAAAAAGTTATGTCAGGGTAGTCAACTTCATGTTGACCAGTACTGTCATCAATGGATTTTTAACATGCACGATATACAGCCAAAATATCTAGATAATTAATGGAATATTTAGTTGCAGGAGTAGAAAAGACGAGACTTATGCATGATTACCACACCCCCTTTAAAAGTGGGTGTGATGACAAAACAAGTTGCCCCTAACTGCACTGTCCTATGGTGGCTGATTTGTGCAATTCGTGTTTTCGCCCCGCGACCCCGTCAATCGAAAAGTCAAGAATTAACAAGATAAAACGGCGGGGACGCGGAGCGGCGCGAAGTTAACTAAATAAAACCTCGCCCCGCGGGGGTGCGGGGCAAGATATAAGAAATAAAACGGCTTTGGCGCGGAGCGAAAACACGCTTATTAGCGCCCCGCTTGTGAGCGTCCTTTCGCTCCGCGCCCCCGCCATTTTAACTTGTTTATTCTCGACTTTTCGCTTTGCGGGGTCGCGGGACGAAAACATAAACTTCGCCGCGCGCCCTCGCTTATTAGCATGTAAACTTCGCAGCGCGTTCCCGTTAATAATCATGTTTTCGCTCTGCGCCATCGCCGTTTTATTTCTTAAATCTTGTTGAAGTTTTATTTATTAAACTTCGCCCGCGCCCTCTCTAATTAGCGACTTTTCGCTCCGCGCCCCCGCTATTTTAACTTGTTAATTTTCGACTTTTCGCTTGGCGGGGGTCTTGGGGCGAAAATACGAATGGCACAAATCAGCGACCATACTGTCCATATTTTGGCTTGATATTATAATTAAAGCAAAGTTGCCAGGCATACTTATCTACCAATGATAGTAATCAAATATTTCATATTTGATTTTTGCTGTTTTGTATAAAATTTAGAAAAGACATACATGTTAAGTAGTAAACAAGAGGGCCATAAACACCCGAGTCTAATTAATCAACGTGTATCTATTCCTAAAATAATTCGTGACATACAAACAAAACAGTGACTTTTAGTGAATTGCATGAATTGACACAATATTTCGAAAAATTTAATATTAAACTTAAAATGAAACACATGCGTTTCATCGTCGCGAGACAAACCCAATATTGATCATCAATCTACTACGACCAAGGCTGTTATCGTTACTTACTTCCTTCATCCGGACAATGGGCATCCGTGGAAAAATAAGCTATATTACATTCCGATGTTATCTTCCCGAAATGCAATACAAATCTGATTTGGAAAACTGGCTTTACACTACTAAATGTCACAACAAATAATACTTAAGGCAGTGTTAAAATATATACATTTATAATTACTTCATTCGTTGGTTAGAATAACACAGCTTTTCATCAGGGTTTATATTTTCCTTCTTCCTCTTATAGATGCTTGATGTGATGGTACAGGAAGCCGGATTAGATACTGTAAGTTATTTTATTGTACATGTACCTGGTTATTTTTTTTATATTAACTAATCCTATATATAATTTTGTAGAACAACACTTTATTTTGAAATTGTATTTTTTATATCCATTGAAATTGAAAATGAAATCAATACGAGGCACATATACTTGGATGTTTTCATTCATTAATTGTCTTTTTTTCACAACGTTCATTTTGTTTCCTCAATGAAGCAAATAGCTTTTTATTATTAGCTGAAAGTTAAATAGATTGATTGTAAATTTATCTGATTGCCGTTCCTGTTGTTGAAAATGGCATACGCTGATAACTCATCGCACATATTCGCAGCTTCTTATAACACGATGTATAATTTGCTTACAAAAATATATGCATAAGTCTACGTTTTCATATATATGAAAGCAAGGACATGATATTTGGTTTCTTTGATAGCGCAAATCTTTTGAATATTAAAATAAGGTAATAAACAAAGCATTATCAATTTAATTTATTGATAAAGTATGGCCTTTACTGCTGCTTATTCTACTCCATTTATTTTTTTCTGCTATCTACGTCTAAGTATCTTTTTTCTTCAAACACAGAACAATGCAAGGGACAAGCGAATTAATAGATTTAACATCACATGTGCACAATATTGGTAAGAAAATAAGTGAAAAATCTTGCTGTAAAAGCTGTTCCTGTTTTATTTTCCGATAACTCCTATTTAACATTTCTATTGTACTTGTAATCACCTGCATTTATGTGATTTGTTGTTTGGCAATTAAACTGTACAATATTTATAGATACAAAGAGAGCTGAAAGTACATTGCGGTAAAGAAGTAGTCAGCGATGAAAGATGAAGTCAACGATAGTGGAACTTAGTAAGTCTATTGTCAATTTCTTTTGTAAAAAATGCAAGCCATTTCTTTTGTAAAACAATATTTGTCTTCTTTTTTTTTCATTGTAAATATAAACAAAAATACTTGTCATATCTCAGTCGCGTCAAAATTGAGTAAAAAATGACAACTCTAAATAAACTTAATTGCATTGTTGAAAAGATCGTATCTTTTCAATACCACAATAGCCAAATCTTCATATTTCAACTTTTAGAAAGAAATTGTTTTTGAAAAATGTTATCTTATCTAAAACAAGTTTAACATCATTGTTTGTTTATACAGTTTGTGTATTGTTCCTTTGTGTTTCTGCAATCAACAGGGCAGGTGCGTACCAACTTCTTTTCATACCTCATGCCGCGTGTCACTTCCTTTTAGCAAAACTTAAATAATATTTATATCAATCTTGCATGCAATGTGTTTTCTTTAATACCCTTTGTAGTTTAAAAAATATCTTTGAGATGTATACATTTGTATGTCAATAAATGATTTAATAGTAAGTACCAATTACAGTAAGTTGCAATGAATGGTGATTTAATACATAGAAAAGTGAAAAATATCATCATGTTTATCAGTATGATTTTAATTATGTTTTCCAGATAGATAATTTAGAAAATGGTCAAAATATGCGCAGTGTTTGCTTGTTTCAATCGCTAATAATATTTACTTGAATAAATAACGAATACACTGTGTACACATGAGCGACACAATAACAATACATTTTAAGCATAATACCCTTGTAATTGTGTTGATAAGTTACATAAGGTTTCATTTCATTACTATGATTTGTTTTAGGTTCCTTGGAGTGTTACATTTGCTCTAATGCTCTAAATATAAATGAATGCAAGTCAACGGAAATATGTGTGGAAGGGCAGGTAAAATATTACACCATTAAATTATTTCAAGATCAGCAAGTTATTTATGTTTGATCATTTTTGATGCCCAAAAGACAGTGTGTATTGTCCGTTTAAATGGTCGATCAAAAGAATCTTTATTACAATAATATGATGGAATATTGACTGCTTTCAACATGGAAAATCCCTTATTTACATTTTTGGTTTAATACAATAAGGGAACGAATACAAAAGACAAAATGTCACAAGCAAGTAGAAATAAGTTAAATATAAATTCATAAATGAATTTAAGAAATAATGTTTTGTGCAATTGTAACTTGTGTTACCTAGTATCATTTGTAAAATTCAATTTACAATTTCATAGGTTTGTTTCAAAAAGCGGGACTACACAAACCAGGTTCAGTTTGACATGGGATGCATTGACAAAGAGGTAAATAATAGTAAATTCTGTAATTACAAGCCAATCTTTTGTGCTAAAAAATGAAATGCGTTTTAATATCATTTTTGATACATATACCATGCAACTTATTCAAATTTCATTGCAAAAGAAAAGTAAAAATATATTGTACAATAAACAAAAATAAAATACAGTTTATCCAAATATACAAAACAAATATTTATTGTTTTGAATAACTTGTTTGAAACTGTTGTACCTGCATTTTTGTTGAGTATTTCACGTATCTTTTAAACAGATTTTAAATAATTTGTAACACTGTTTTAAATCGTACAGAGTTGTGGTACATACTTTACAAGTCAAAATGCTTCAGAAAATGCAAAAATGAGCGCTGAAAAGACAAGTTATTGCTACGAGTGTTGCTCCAGGCAAAAATGTAATGAGGATCTTTGTGACTATCTTCCAAGTAAGAGGCATACGTCTTATTGCTGTTTAGTTATGATTACTCTCGAAATAATTTTTGATAGGCTGTGACTACGCCAAATGTCTAGACCTACCATGAACTGCATTTTTACACACAGACAGCGCACAATTAGAAGTTGTTTGTAGCAATAACTAGCAATGTAAGGAAGAACTGACCCAACTTACCTGATGTATCTTACTTTTCCTCAAGATTAATTATTTCTCTGTCAACGGTAATCAGCTTTTCAACCTGCCATCTTTTACTAATTTTGGTACATGCATAAACATTTACCCTCTAGTTTTTGGTATGTTTCGGTCGGTCTCACAAAATCTGTAAATATTGGAGACAAGCGAACAGGTACACCGGTTCTAAATCTGTTTGAGAATTGTTTAAGTATTTATCTGCTTCCTAACTATAAGCAAAGATGGAGAGACCGGATAGTTCTGATCCGCCAAAAAGTAATATGTTTTGATTTCTTCTATCACAGCATAACATGTCTGCTGAAGATGTATATAATTGGCAGTAAAAATTAAAATGATTCGCTGGTGTACTTCAAAAGAACTGACACTGGATGAAAAATATTTTTGAGTTACAAAACAAATATAATTATATTCTAAGGATCTTAGATAAACTGAAATATGTTTACTGGTATTAGCAAATCAAATCGATCGGAACAAGCAAAAGTGTTGTCAATATCCTTTGTGTATTTAAATTAGGCGTGACGGTTTGAAAGTATGAAAAAAAAATCAAATCGTTCAAATAGAATGACTTAATATAAAAATATTAAATATTGTAGTAATTCTTGGCATGCTCGAATCTGGGTGTAAAGTCGTTGTGATTGATCCACAGATATTTTCTGAATAAATATTTTAATCTTTTCAAATACTTCTGTCAGAATGTGAAACTATTAGCTATTACAAATAAAAACAATTAAAACCAATGTATGCAATTACACCTTTGATCCACGTCGATGACGATTTTACACAGCAATGCAATAAACTACAATGTACTAGTAAATGCAATTAACCGGGTATTTAAAACAAAATCAAAACCTTTGATATATTTTATCATTCTGATTTGCACAAAATCAATGTGATACAACATTATACCAAATTTTGTCAGAATAATTTTGTCAACAATTCTTATTGCATAAAATTATGTAATAATTAAAAAAAAAAGACATGAGTGAAAATATTTACATTGTATTATAATTAGATTGTTCCCTTTCTATTATTTTGTTGCTATTTCGTTTCCGTAGACTTAACAGGCAAAATATGTTTTGAATGAATTGTACAATTGGGCACGGCTAAGACAACAGAAAAATTTATTTCACTGAAAAACAACAAAATATTCTATTTTTTCCAAGACTCCTTGTGCCAAGATGACAAGTCGGTTGATTGTGCTAAATTGAACTCGATGTTTAGCATTTGTAAGGTTACAAGTCAAGCAAAGAAGATTTGTCCAAAATATTGCAATCTCTGCAATCTGGGTGCGTAGACTTTTTAATATAATGTGTTCATCATTTTCTTCCAATGTCTGGCTGAAAGCATACCTGTACCAAGTCAAGTTTGCAAATTACTTTTCGAATAAGCTAGTTTTATTTATCAATTCGGGAAATATGTCCATATATTTATCCTACTGACAATGCAACTAAAATTAAAACAATAAATAATAGATCTATACATATAAAACGAATCTGAATAAAGTAAAGATAAAGGTGGATTTATTGTTCAATTGTTCATTGTTTAACACATAACCTTTCAAAGCTTGTATAATTGAATGAAGATCCTACAGCCATACAAAAACATTATTTAACTTTATAAATGAAGGCATCAAGAAACCCTTACCTTCTGTGTAGTTTTACACTTTAACGCATACTTCTCCAGACCAAATATCACTATCATTTTCTCAATCCAGTCCTCATTTAACTTAACAATGTCCTTGCGACATTCCTCAATTTGTGTTTGTTCAAGATTTCAATTTTTTTAAAATTATATATGCTTTATCCATGCAGTGGATGGAAATTGGTCTCCATGGTCAAAATGGTCATCATGTGACGTCACTTGTGGGCTAGGGTCACTGTTCCGACATCGGTCTTGTACCAACCCAGCACCGCAAAATGGGGGCATTGATTGCCCTGGTAAAGAAACCGAGCGAAATACGTGTCAACTGAAGTTATGTCCAGGTAATTTAACCATGGCTGTAAAAATTATGTCTTTAATATATAATTAACATAGAAACCTAATCGGCAAAAAATATTGAAACACTTTCTGTCAATTGTTGGTAAAGGTTTAACATATTTGATTATTTTGATTAGTTGTGCAATTTGCAATGGAATTTGAAAAATAAAATTTAAATTTGCTCAAACAATGCAAGTAGCTTGAAAATGTCCTTATCGATTAACGCATTCTGTGATATAACAGTACACGGTGGATGGAGTTCATGGGGCAACTGGGGAAAATGTTCAGCAACTTGTGGTGTAGGAATGCGAACACGTAGACGATCATGTACCAACCCACGTCCACAGCGTTTTGGGGACCACTGCTTCGGCGACAATATTGATGATGAATTGTGTAACAGTGAATCTTGTACAGGTAATAACGTTTTCTAATGGAATTTTTTCATCTTTATTACACATTTTGTTCCAATAAGTGCTTTTTCTGATCCTGTGTCTTTAAATAATGATAATTTTAAACTAAACTATTTCAAGAAAACATTTATCCTTTTGGTCAAATTGCTATGTTAAAACTATAATATTGATACATCACAAATCAAATTCGTCAATTTTTATTTCTCACAACCGTATAATTATTGCACTTACCATCCCGTCCGTATGCATATTATTGGTATATTTACGAATAAACAAAATGGCGGTCAGCCATTTAGCACAATGTGTTCCGAATATCTTTGCTTTAGGAAACAAATTAATATAAATACGCTGCTACTTTTGAATGCTCACTTTTAATTTCATTTGATTTTGTGAAATAAACCTTAAAACATTTAACAACCAAACTATCATTGCCTTAACATTTAATCTATTTGGAGCGATTTTTTAGTAATAAGATTCAAAACAGACACCATATGTCTACATAACTTTAAGCATATGTCATTGTTCCGAAAATGTCTTGAAAGTAGAGACATTTAATGACAATTAAGGGAATTAAAAATATAAAATAACGAATGTCTAGAATAAGGCCTTTTTAATTTCTCTCTAAAAGGAAATTCTTGCTTCGAAAACCTTTATAATTATCAAATAGTGCCACGGGCACATCTTAGATTTTCTTCTTGTGTTCTTCAGTGCATTAAATCAGCTTTGCATAAAAAATGCATTCACAACACTGGTATTACTATTGCATTACACTTATAATAGGTTTTACAAACATTCTGCTTTCTCTTTAATGATGGTGGTTAATTTATTAATAGGAGATATAACGTTTTATCTTACAGCTATTGAAATTATTATTTATAAATATTGTGCTTTTCAGACTACAGTTATGCTTAATTAAACGTGTTAACTTGTTATTAGATAGAGAACGGATATTTGTACCAGACACAGATTGCTATGATATAAATAAACATGAGGGCAAGAAAATAAGTGGAGTATACAACGTACGTCTATGGAAAACAGGCAAAGTCATACCTGTGTATTGCGACTTTGATACAGATTCGGGAGGGTGGACGGTGTGTTTGTTGTTTTTTTTTTGTCATTTTGTTTTGTTTCAGATAAATGTTCTTATAACACAAACACATTCTCTTGGTATTCTTAGATAAAAATAAATTCATTTATATGGTTATGGTTAGTAATCTTCATGGTGATCAAAGACTCAGCAATTTGTTCCAATAGTCACCAATTTGCGTTAAAGTTGCATTAAACATAACAAATGTAATGCCTACCATATCCAAGAAATAAAAAATGATGATTTTATTGATATTCACATCATTACAACATTTGTCTTTTATCAATATGGTAAAATAAATATTGATAAAATCTTGATAATTAGATGTCCATGTATATATAATTTTTAAGGTTTTAATTCACATGATATCAACTGATTAATGTATACTAAATAAATACACATTTATCCATTTACTACAGGTCTTTCAAAACCGATTCAATGGCAGCATTGATTTCTACAAAAGCTTTAGTGATTATGAAAGGGGATTTGGTTCTGTACATGGCGAATTTTGGTTAGGTAAATTGCAATATAATATTTTAATTTTGCTATACTAATTACAAGTGTACTTTATGTGTTATGATCGTAAATAAACATCACAATGATATTAAATTAATTTTAGTAAAACATGTTTATATACATTCACAGTGTTACTGTTTCTGCTAAATTGTTGGCCACATTTTAAAGCGTAGCTGGTGTTTGGTAACTTTTCACAATTTTTAAAGAAAACTCAAACGTATTTTTAAAATAGGTTACGTTGTACTCGGCAAATGTAAATCTGATTTTACATGTTTCGACTTTTTGAATTCATAAATAAATCTAAGTATGCCTGTTTAATAAATTATGCAAACAGTTAAACAGGGCTTTCAGTAGGATTAGCCCAACAAATTGTACTACGAGTTGATTTATTCGCTATCTTATGTATGGACAATATCACACCACTATGACAAAGAAGCGTTTTCCGACCAAACACAAAATATCCCCAGAGTCTGAATCGCATGGGTCAATTCCTCTTAATTAGTCCAAGGATGCATGCCTCTTAATTTTGATATAACGTAATGTTTTACTTTTGAAAGTGATATTTAATTGTTAAGAATGGTAAAGAATGGTTATCATTAAAATATAAACTTGATATCAATTGAACATATCTATCATTTATTTGAAATTTTTGTTCGTGTGTTTTTCGATATTTTCATTCGTATAAGTTTACAGAATTGTCATCTCTACTTATATTCACTTCTTCCCTGTAAATTCTACTGGAAGTCAAACTAATTTTAGACGATCTTCGGCCGAAATAGAAGATTTTTTTATGCAAATGATGTACTACGAGTTGCATATTACCATTTAGCTCACGTGAGCACAAAGTCCTCATAAGTGTTGTATTGAACCCTTTATCCACCCATCGCCGTTCATTTTTATCCACAGTTTCTATACAAAAAATATCTTATCTGAAATTACAAGGAAGGTTTTAAACAAAATTTACAGGAATGATTGAGGTGACCAGCTACAAAGGTTACATAAGTAGTTCCAGTCTTTACAGTTGCGACAGTCTTTACAGTAAGTCTAGTAATTACATATATAGGTGAGTAGCAGAGAGATTAATTTTGAATTTCTATGTTAAAAGTACATTCTTATCATGCAGGTCTTAAACATATCTACGAAATGGTGTCCCATGGGAAAACAGAGTTAAGGATGGACATGATCGCGGCTAACGGGACATCTGCATACCAAACATTCATAAACTTTCGCCTTAGTGATAGTCCGTATTATACTATCCATATTGATAAAGGAGTTGGAAATGTAGGCAAGTAATAACATGTAACGAAATCGTTAAACTGTTTATATTGTGAGATTATTATTATCTATTTTAAGAAATGATAGAAAGTACGGCAAAAGACCGTTAAAAGCCATCAAATACGTCAAAAGCGAAACTAGTTTATGCTATTTTCGGGCTTGTGTGTGAAGGACACTAGATATTTTACAATACTAAAGGTTTTAACAAATTCGTTTAAAATACGTACTTTTTAATTATATAAGGAAATGAAACATAAACGTTCAGGATAAATCAAGTTGGTTCAAAAGACGAACATCCTCAAAAAATTACATTTGAAATGCATTATTGTTGTCTGAATATTTGAATCATTTAACAGGTCTTGGCATGGGATTATTATGCAGCTATGGTAGTTATTTTTCAACCTACGACGTTGATCAAGATAGAAGAGGAATTCATTGCGCTGTCAATTATCATGGTGGTTGGTGGTACAGTGCTTGTGTTTCGGCTAATCCTAACGGAAAATATGCAACTCCAGGAACAAATATCGGCTTCAAGGGCATGTACTACTTCCCATTTACAAAAAATAAAGATTCGCTGAAAGCAGCTAAACTGATGTTTCGAAGAGTTTAAACATTGTACATTTATAATTTATACTCCAATATTTTCTTTATTTTTAGTAAACACTTCATTTTTCACCAGGAAAATTATATTTACACTTACAAGACACTTGCAATTATAATGTTTTAAAATATCATTTTTACAATATTCAAATAGATTATTGCGTGTTAATGTTTTTTCTTGATAATCATTGAAATGGCACGGATACTTTTTTTCTCTCATTCATTAAAAAATATCTTTCCAAATAGGTTCAGTCAGCCACTGTGTATAGTATATATTAAATATTTGGCTAGCTTATACATAATAATGTTTCTTATATTAACAAGCATATTATCTTCTTTCATTTTATTAATATTTTTTGTGATTCTGTTACACTTGCTTAACTGTATAATTACACTGTTTGCATCATGTATTCATTGTTTAAAAAGTTTTTATCTGATTACATGATTATATCAGTTTCCATGTTAATGAAATCATTCAAATCTAAAATAATGCTTACGAATTTGGAACATTTCAATATTCAATATAACATTTCCATGTTGTTGTTTTATTACTGAAATTTCGCCTATTCTCAGCGTTTGATAGCAAAACAAGAGCCTATATCAAGTAGACATTCATATATCTTAAGATAATCTTAAAAGATAGAATTTGTGTGGAAATAATTGAATCCCATTGACCATAGACTGGAAGACTGATAAACTTTGTTGCATTAAACTCAGAAGGTTAATTGATAGCCTGTTTGAAAATAATTGTACGGAAATACAGATATATTAAAGACTCTTTTTAGCAATTATTTGTGTGCCGTACATGGTACATTTGATGGCCAGTGCGGGGGATGTAGACATCTGCCAAACCGGAGTTGCCGTACCCAGGGTTTTCCCAGGCCAAGTCTTGGGACGAGGCTTCTTGCAGGAGAAAGTAATGCAAAGACGTTGGTAGAACGTCATAATACTCATAATAAGCATTACAATATGCTAAAACTAAAGTTGGTGAATTAAAATTTAGAAAACATCTCATACATAAGAGAATAAACCACTCTCAGTGGTGAGCTTGCTTTTCACTGACAGGATTTGTGTGCCGTACATGTTACAATATTTCCTATTAAGATATGTTTTAAAAGCATTAGATTAGGTTTTTGAGTTATCTGCGAAAGAAATAGCATATACGACAGAAATTAAATTTGTATATAAAGATTAAAGGAAGCTTAGAAATTGTGATCAGAATGGCATTGTTTTGACATTAATTTACCTTTTATCGGGTTTTTGTAAAGAATTGGAAACTTACGTAAATATAACTTTTGTCTTTGGTGAAGCCTTGAATAACCTTTTGATTAAAAAATTGACAACTAAGGTAGAACTATAAATATTCATAACGTATAAATCCTAAAATCATTTATTGAAAGGTTTGCTTGATGTGATATTTGAAAAAAATGCATAAGAGTGGTAAAAGTTATGGATGATACTCAAATACGTAACAACTATTTTTGTAGACAACGTCCGACCACATTGTCAATAGTGTAAACAAAACAGACATTAAAGGGGGCTTCAAATCGCCAAATCGGATATTTGTATTTTGAGCATTTCATTATTAACCTATCCAAAGTGGTTGGTTCATAAAAACGAAATACAATTTTTCCAATATTGACGTCTGCAAATGATAAGGTGTATATAATTGTACATAAAATAAGTGTTCTCATCAGATTGTATGTTTTAGTAAGGAAGAAATAAATAAATTGGCTAAAATAAAAATGTATGTTTTGTGTTGAAACCATTTTTAATCTCATATTTGCTTACAATTGCTAAACGTTACTGATACATGTATACGTGGTAACTTCTATACATAATCGTCGTCACAAATATCTTAATCACTGCTACCGCAAGAGTAGGGTTCCAGGCCATGTGCTGCACCTATTTCTTATGTCTCTGTTTTAAGAAAATTAACAATTGATTCTTGTACCGGATTGCTCTTATACCCAATTGACCATGAAGCATTTGTCACTGGCAAGGTTCTGCTAGTTTGTCCTCTTCCAGACAGTGCAATATTATTTGCTCGTTTAATTTTCTCTTTTATGATCTTTTTGAATGTCGCATGCAACTTGGATCCAAGCCTTTAATTTCTGACAACGGAGCGTATTTGAACTTTCAAGAATATGAATACATATAAAAAGAGAATCAAACTTTATTTACGAAACACCGATAAACACACAAATTTCCTCGGTTTAAACAAACTGTTATTATTGAAATATCGGGATTCACTAGATTAAAGATGCAGTCTACAAACAAACCCATAGTATTGAAAAATATCTAATACGTTTACCAAAGTATGAACAGGAAATAATGTTTAAATTTCGTACAAATAACACGCACTTTCCAGAATAAATGGGACGCTGATTGAATGTGAAACTTGCGCAATTTTTATATTAATTGATTTGACCAGGTTACACACTTGTTGTCTTAGTAAGAACGGACGCAACAAGAACGATTTGCACGAGGCATTTATTCACACAAAAAACGTCGTAGTAAATAAAATTACTAGAGCGTGCAATAAGGCATTGTGTACTTCCCAGTATTCATGATTGTCAGATTTAATTAGGAGTTATAAAAGCCTATTTAGGACTTTGTATCTCTTAAGAAGAAGAAATAAAAAAACTAATTAATTAGGAGCTTAAAGAGCCTAATTAAGAAAATAGAATCCTTATTTGAACTTCGTTATTCCTGATAAGGTTTTTTTATACAAAGTTCTAAAAAGGATTTTATTTCTCCTAGTAAATTTTCTTAATCTTCTAATCAGAACATAGAAAGTTCTCATTAGATTATTTTCTCCTAAATTAGGAGTTAAAATATACAAAATCAGTCTATATAATTTATTTCTCCTAATACGGCTCTAGAACTCCTATCAAAGTTCCAATTAGTTTCTACATTCATTCTAATTAAAGCAGCATGCCTCCAGATTCATGCTAATTTTCATGAAAATTTTGAAAATGTATTTTTAATTAAAATACTATGAAGTAAACAAAGAAAGTAATTAACAAATTTCAAACGGCACTTACAATCCACGTAATTCACCAAAAGAGAGGTAAAAATATACATAAAACACTCTTATTGCATTTGAAACGCAGTAGAATTATAGTTATTGATACTGCAAAATCAGTCATTAATCGCACATAACAGGTTAGTAATTAATTAAATATTGAATATCTTTACTTTTCTTAAGATCTTCATACATTTTTCTAAAAATTGATTTTCTTGAAATAGTCTGGCTCATCTGGAGGCGTGCAGCTTTAAGAAATAATAAATTCCCAACAGTGAGGCAAAACAATTTTTGTGCTCGATGTGTCCTGGAGACCTTCATAATTAGATTATTTACAGTGATTAATAGCCAATGCAGGCAAGCATAGACGCACGGAGGAACGTGCACTCTTTGCAACTTGTGTTCACATCACATATTCTCAACACTGATATGAGAGAATCTAACCGCGTTTATTAATGAAATTAAGCCGCGTCACGACAAAACCAACATAGTGTGTTTGCGACCAGCATGGATCTAGACCAGCCTGCGCATCCGCGCAGTCTGATCAGGATCCATGCTATTCACTTACCAACTCTATTACAAGTAGAGAACTGATAGCGAACAGCATAGATCCTGATCAGACTGCACGGATGCGCAGGCTGGTCTGGATCCATGCTGGTCGCAAACCCATTAAGTTGGTTTTGTCGTGACGCGGCTCAATTAAGTTGTTTGTAGTGTTCACAACATTATTATGTAAAACCACCCCTTGTACCAGTGGGTACCAAAGTAACTACCGACTGTCCGTAATCTAGCCACATATAGTTTCTTAACCATATGAAATCATATGAAAATACCTCGGTGGAATGAGAAGCAACAGGGGAACCAGTCGTTTGAAGTCGGAAATGAAATAGAGATACGAAGAGGATCAAAGTTTAATGGGGTTCACAAATGAAAATACACGAAATCGTTACCTTTTTTATTTTGAAAACATCTACAACGTTGTAAATACTGTTTAAATTTTATAAAATTTTATCATAAATAAACAGAAATGCAAAAATATATATGTAAATGTCATAATCAAAACAAAACATGCGCAACATTTGCATAAATAGCAAACAAAGTACATTTTGTATTGTAGTATTTATTTAAATATAAAAAAGTGGTGATACCTCGGAAGCAATAAAAGCAACAAAATACACATTTCACATGAAGACTGCGAAACTCTTTGATCGTGAAGTGATAAATCAAATATACTGTCCAAACAAGCAATCAATGTATGTATTAGAATATTCAAATGATAGAATTTTCAAACGTACAAATTGGTTTTAATAAATTAATGTGATCTATTGATTTCTTCTGGTTTAGTAAGCTATCAAATTCAAACACGAGGAAAGACATACTGTTTTATACATTATAATTGTATATCTATAAAATAAAAATAAAAAAATTGCTCGAATTGCTCTCGAATAATTATTCATACAAAATATCATTGCTTTTATCACATAAATAACTGCTTTTAACATATACATGAAACTTCTTTTATCATATAACATATAACTGATTTTATCACAAAGATAACTGCTTTTATCATATACATAAAACTGCTTTGATCATTATGCATAAACTGTTTTATAATATACAAACAACTACTTTCACCATATGCATAAAACTGCTTTTATCAAATAAACATGTACATAAATCTGATTTTATCATGACCATGAAACTGCTTTTAACATATATATGATACTGCTTTTTATTATATAAATGAAACCAAAGAAAAGCGAAATCAATTAATTGCAACATGATATAATACCTTCAAGGATGAAAAAATGGCTTTTTTAATGAGAATACACGCATAATTTAATATTGATACGATTGGCTCATATAAACATGTATATTACTGGTAATAAGATGCTTGACAGTGAAAACGGTTGTTAACTTATATAACCCAAACCGCTAGGTCTATAAGACATCTTAATTATAGCAAATTCATAATACAGCAGAAGTACTTTATTTTAGAAAAAAAGTAAAATTACTTCATAAATTAACAGTTACCGTTGATATTGTCTATATAACCATCACGATAATCCAATGAAAGGCGACGTTACAAAAATGCAGTAATAAAATGTTTCACGATAAATTTGTATACATGTATAACGTTTATCAAAATACAAAAATATAAAGTAAGATAATCCACAGCAACATGTCATTAAACTCACTAAGCACACGTCCTTTTGCCAAAATAAATTGAATATTTGTCTGTTTGATGTATTCTATTCATATCGTTCATATCAAACAGATTGATATTTAAGGAAGTTCGTATCATGTTATCTATCGTAACCGAAATTTTCAGATTTGAGCCGCGCCATGACAAAACCAACATAGTGCGTTTACGACTAGCTTGAATCAAGACCAGCCTGCGCATCCGCGCAGTCTGATTAGGATGCATGCTGTTCGCTTACAAACCCTATATCAAGAAGAGAAAGTGATAGCGAACAGCATGGATCCTGATCAGACTGCGCGGATGCGCAGGCTGATCTGGAGCCATGCTGGTCGCAAACCCATTATGTTGGTTTTGTCATGGCGCGGCTGATTTTGTTATTAAACATTATTTTTATTGATTTGATCTAAACCATCAATTATCTCCTGAGAATCGGTTGTTATATCAGCAATATCTTCTGGGGGAACTGGGTTGTAATTTTGAAAACTATCTACACTAAGATTCGTTGGTAAACTTGAAACTGAGCCAAGTCTCTGCAGCTGACCATTTGCTTTCCTTTCAGATAAGTCATGTATTTTATTAGTATCATCACATTCAACAGACTGGTTATGCATTGCATCTGGAGGATCAACTGCTTTGAAAGTAAATCTTGGGGACTGAGAATTATCACTACATTGCGAATCATGCATGCTTTGCTGATAAACATTTGACGGCAAAAATTGATCAGATCTATTACAGTGAGCATTTAGATGTGGATTCGAATCATCTGAATCGTCGTCATCGTCAAACTCTTGTTCTTTCCTATTGCGATGCTGCCGGTGATTGTTATGATGATTGTGGGTCGGGTGACCATGCTGATGAGAGTTTCTATCAACACCATGTGAATGTGGTGCGTTTAACTGAAAGTTATGACATTGATTACCATTTCTTGCAAATGAATCAGATGGGAGATGCATACTTCGATGATCATTGTCTAAATGATCAGCAGTTGCTAAATATCCTTGCTGTTTTGGACCTGAGACGTACTCGTCTGGTGGGGAAAAGTCATAGTTTTGTAAATTATCAGAAGTTCTCATTGAAGCATTTTGAGGATACATATTGTCGGAGGAAATATAATCGTCGGGTTGATACTGATACATACTGTGCCCAGAATGTTTTCCATGGTGAATACGAGGGAATCTGTGATCTGTTACATGTCTTTGGTCATAATATGCTCCTTGATTACACATGCTCTGTTGACCTGGTAAATGACTTTCATAAAATCCGATTTTAGAGTGAACCGGGTATCTGTGATGCGTTACTCTATTTTGAAACTGATCAGGATGATGCTGATGATGATTAAGGTTGCCATGTAAAGTAGGTGGCGGAATATGTTTGTCAAAAACGTGTGGATGAGAACTTGAATAAAAGTCTGCTTTATTTCTCCTTAAACTATCATCACTTAAGCTATCGGAATCTGATTCATCAGCATGAAAAGCAAGAACACGTTGATGGACATCGGGTAATTTGCTGTGCTTTTCCGTCTGTAAAAGGCACTGATGGTTTTCAGGTCTTTTGTTCATTTCCTGTTTTTCTTCTCTCCCACATCTCGTAGGGAAGTGGTGTGCAAAGTTTGGAGGTAAAGAAATTGGTTGTTCATTATGGTGTACAATTACATCAGGGCTGGTTTCTAAAGGGGTTGAGTTGTGAACTTCTGCTTGAAATTCTTGGATATGTGGCCGGTTTTGAACTCTTTCAACTTTAGTTCTCGGTTGTTGCTTTCTATGAGATTGCTGCCTTAATCTTTGATCGTTTGTTCGATTGGTATATCTTTCATTGCCATTTTGTTCAGCTACTTTTTTATGTGACATGAACTGTTTATGGCTGTCACTCTTCGCCTCTCCAGACCTTCGATAATCTAATTCAAACTCTTCACCTAACATTGACTCTTTTTCCGCCTCCGCATTTATTTTTTGTAACATCAGAAACGGATTGTCGATATCACTTCCTATAGGCGGAGATAATCTTAAAGCGGGTTCAATTTTACAAGGTTTTCCTGTGAAATTATTGTCTCGTGATAACAATGGCTTCAATTCATTTTGCCCTATATCAGAATTATTTCTAACCTGGTTAACGACCCTTTTCAGTTCTGTCCATGTATTACTCCACTGAGATGTGTTTTCAACTGGTATATTCCTGTTCGGTGGGCACCTTTCTAGACCATGAATTTTACAATACACTTTGTCTGGTTTATTAATAAAATTTATTACCGGTATATTTGCAGATAATACATTAATACTGGAGAGTAAAGTTGAAATATCATGATAACTATTAAATGTTAAGTCTACAACTATGACTCTTACATCATTATGAACATTTCTTCGTTCAATTGCAGCTTTTAAAACACATGAGTAAAACTCGTTTACAAGATCAATCGCATCAGGTTTATAACAGTTTTTACTGCACAAGACCAGAACAAAAGAACTGTCCTTCAAAATTTTGTCCACGCCGTTCTGTAAATTATCAATATTGCTACTGTGCTCTCTAAGTACATTTGCAGAGTTAACGACTGTACATTCAAATGCTTCGTTGACGTACCGTTCCAGTTTTAAAACCACATCATTTTCACCAGTTGTACAATCATCTCTAAACGGATGAAGAAGAAGTCCAGATGCCTTTGGTACTGAAACAAAATATTCAAACGTAATTCATTGAAAGTTCATTACAAAATATGCGGAATGTTCTTGGTGTGTTATCAATGAAACATGCAGAAGAACTATGGATAGATGTAATCATAACAATAGTAAGAAAAAGTGATACAATTTTGCGAAGACCAACTAACGAGTATTGGAATAACAAAAATAATTATATTAAAATTATTTTGTGGCACAATTGCATTGTATTCAGAGCTTATAATACCTATTTAATACATTGATATATTAAAACAGATTTTTGTGCATGATTTTGAGAATACTATACAACAAAGTTAAGAAAAAGATAAGCAATATTTCTGTTGAAAGTAACTATAAACATTATTTTGAAATTCGATACGACGTGAATTGGCAATTTTCTTTTCTTTGTCAATCTTAGGCAAGAAACTTCAAAAGTTAAATTTGAATTTTTCTTTGTTACGAATTAGAAAAGGAAACTGTTACAGCAGTTTAAAAGGGTATAATACCTGTAGAACTTTCTTGGCATTTTGGTCGTTTGCGTATGCAGTACGTTATTGACAGCAGTAGAGTTACTCCCATGATGCACCCAGCTATCATGGCAACCACTTTCATTGGTTCAAGGGAGTCTTCTAGATAATGAGGATAATCTGTTAAAGAAAATCTATTTTACAAAGTCCTTATATATCTATGATCAAAAAATAACTTTACTAAAATGATTTATACGTGACAAATAAGCTGGGTTGATAAACAGCCAGGTTTACAATGTGCACATTTCTTGTAAAAAAAACTTACAAAAATATTTGATCATTAGGCACTTAATTATATCACTCCATGATTGGGTAGCTGCATCCCAAGTCATCACATAACCTTCTGAGGAGCTTTAAACAGCGTATCCTCTTTGTAGAATTGCTATTGCATAACAATTGGATTAATAACGATTGACAATGAGTATTGAGTCAACCTAACAAAAACATGTTCTTTAAAATTTAATAATTCATCGTAAATTAAGTAATATAACTTAATAAAGGTGCTCTGTTACTCTGTTTATTGCGCTAGTCTTTAAACAGTAGCGTGCAGTAGATAGCGATAAAGTTCATTAATTCAATAGTCAAATAAATGTTACGAGCTAGAGCGACACGATACCATACACTAGACAGAGTTACCTTTATTTATAAAGTTCACATGCATATTTTTGAACAGCAGTGTCCAAATGCAATTTATGAATTAATACAACTAGATACTGTCTGATCTCTTTTAGCAGATATATTTTTATTAAAATATCTTACTGTCTGTCCATGGCAGCATTGACCCATCAATAACGACCGACTTTACTGTTAAATTTTCACCAGGCCCGCATGTCTGGTTACATACAGGAGTAACCTGAGAAATAAAAACATATGAGCCGCACCATTGAAAAACCAACATAGTGCGTTTGCCACCAGCATGGATCAAGACCAGCATGCGCATCCGCGCAGTCTGATCAGAATCCATGCTGTTCGCTATCAGTTGCTCTACATGTAAAAGGATTTGTAAGCGAACAGCATAGACCACCGACGTTCCGTAAGCTAAATGGATAGCATTGAGATTAGAAGAAAAATTATAACATTACTTTTAGAAGTTAGTTCATGAATAATTATGTAAAACCGCTGAAGGTAGAAAATACACTAATAAAGTAAAAATGTACCTTAATTCTAGATAGAGCTTTTTTGTACAACAAAGAATATAGCCTATACTGTTACTCATGTTACTTAATTTGATTAATATCACTGTCATTCAGAACCTCGATTTAAAAGAAAATTCTAGTATTCATTCCTATAATTTCCATCTATGCATTTGATTAATCTTTCTATGAAATTAAGAGATTGCTTTATTGATGTACATCATCCAAATTCGGTAGCAATTTAGATGAACCAACAATTATAAACTTTATCTCAGAAAGTTTTGAGTTTAGCTTTGTCGCATCTTTTTGTTTTTCGCATTTTCGAGGCTTTCGCTATTTCGGCAATGCAAAAATCCCAAGGATACAGCAAAGTTGAACTTTGTCGTGTCTTCGTGGCGAAAAAGCAAAAATACGGCAAACCATACATAACTGCTCTAGTTACGGAAAAGCATATAAAGATCTAAACTGAACATACCTCCACTATGTACTGTCCTCTCGTAAGATTTGTGAATATTGTTGAATTTCCTTTCTTCCACTGTAATAAAAAATACACCATGATCTTCAAAACTGAGCAGCTTCGAAGCTTTTCAAGTTGATAAACTAAAAAGGTGGTTTGCACGCGCGTGTGCGTGTGGGTATGTGCTTTGTCCATGTTATACCAGTTATATCGCGATAATATATACAAAGCGGTTTTTATTTGTTTGGGTCGTCAGACCAAACAAATAATGGTAGCGAAATTTCAGAGTCTAATGCTGTTAATTGCAAATGCCGAAAGTAGTCCACTTTTTTGAAGCGGTTACTTCCCTTTATATGTAACACTAACGCCGAAAAAATCAGGGGAGATCACTGCGTAAAGATGGTCAAAGAAAGTCCCATCTATATTCAAGCAAAATAATTCCCGAATGGTCGAATATTTCTAATATTGTTTTATTGTATTTTCTGATCGAAAATAAGTAAATACAAAGCTCTGACACAGAAATTTACGACAAACCTAACAACAAGTAGTTCTCAAAACAGCTTTAAACTAGCGATTTTAAAGAAAGAAATATATTTATTTTGTTACCAGTATCCAACAAATTACAACGCATTAAAAGTTTAAAAATATCGTTGGCTCATAGAATTGTCAATAAATGCACAATCACAAATTACGCGGATGAATATGATTTTACCAATAAAAATACTATTTTTAGCGATGTCGATTGCCGAATACTACACAAACCGAGTAGTGGAATATATAGATTCTACATGCCGGACTGTTTGGGCGAGAAGATTTTCGCTAAATTATTTACTTCAACTTTAAACAACAGGTTTATCCTGAACAAAATACCTCGAAATTAATAAGGATTACAAACCCGAAATGTTCTAAATTTAGAATGACTTGATGTTATTCAGACGTTGTTTGTATAAGTTCTCCGTGGTGCAGGGGTAATGCGTTCGCTTAGTGAGTGAGAGGTCTGGAGTTCAAATCGCAGTCGAGGAAACATTTTTTTTTAATTCTTTTTTAAGTGTCTTTGTAATGGAAGTAGCCATGATATGCAAGGATAAAGTGTGGCTGTCGTAAAAAATGAACATAAATTTTTTGATGCAACTCTAGTTATGTAGAATTCCGTATGTATCAAACTCACGTGCCTAGCAAAATGAATTATAATACATAAAAATAAACTTATACAGGAAAATACATACAGATATACAGTACGATTTAGATTGCAAAGATCAGAAAATACCACAGAACTTGCAGCCCTTTGATTCTTTATTATATACATGCTTATAGTAAGCTCCAGGATTATTTACATCTGTGTTAAACAACAGTTAAAGTCGTTACAAATCCTAATTTAGATCGAATAATATGGTTTTCTTTAGGCCGTTCACATATAAATTCACCGTGGCTGAAGGGTTTTCAAGCTCGCTTAGGAAGCGAGAGGCCTGGAGTTCAAATCCCAGTAAAGGCAACTCATTTTATTTTCAAATTGTTTAAGTCAAATAAACATTGGATTGAATATCAGTGTTGCAATCAGTCTTATAGCCAATTTACTACAATTAAAACGCTGGAAAGCATTTGTGGCACTATACATATAATCTCACAACCTGTACCTTTCTTACATTCTGAGGCCCAAACAAATTCAGCGCCTTCTGTGCTTTGATTAAAGTATGTGTGTCTCTTTAGCATTGAAGATCTTGCCTAATTTTACAACAGCCATATTCACGATCAACAAGTACACAATTTAAATCTTAGAGTAACACGCATCTTTGGACTATTTTTATATCTCAATCAATGTCAGTTGGTATTAAAAATTTTCAACATTTGTATTGTAGAAAGGTTCGGGAAAGGTCTGTATGTTTAGCAAATGGCCAATATGATATACTTGCAATATTACCTCTATATATTTTCCTGACTGTATGACGCCATATCCTGCCTTAACAAGGTTAACCTTATATCCATTAATATTTCCCAGTGGTGGTTTTTCTACAACCGTATAAAGCGAGTGGCTAGTCTCATTTAAAAACGTCATTATGGCAGGACTCCACTTAGACTCGGACCATGCTGAAATGTAAATTGTTTTAACATTTGCTTGGTTTGGCTTTACGATGTACAACATTGTGAAGGTTATTTGGCAACTTTTCAGCGTAATTGGTTGAGACACCTGTGTTGAACCAGTAAGATAGCCAAAGTTTCTGGTGAGAATCGAACTCAAAACGGTGAGGGATAAATGGTTTGAAGTCAACGGCCTGAACCACTTGGCCACGAACGTCACATGTATTAACATAGTGCACCAAGCATTTATTACCTTAGCACAACTCATGGGGTGTAGAGTGACTTTATATGACCTTTAGACGAGCAGGTTCTTGGGAAAAGTCAGAGTTCAGGATATAAAGCACTTGTCAAGAGTTCAAATGGATGGAATAAAACATATACTCGCCAACTTCGTGGCTAAGTGACTTCAAACCATTTTTCCTTCATCCTTTTTGGTTCATTCCCGGCAAATTCCTGAACTGTTGGTACAACTTAATAAAAACATGCCAGATATGTTTCTAGATGAGAAACAAAATAACATTTCCCAGGCAGTGCGGGAATAGCGACCAATATACAATTTCTGTCCCGAAATCCGCAGAGAAATGGAGTTTGATTTACAAATAACTGATGGAGAAGATCGAAGAAATTTACTAAAGGTAATGTCCAACTTCGAAAGTTACAACAAATGTAAGAATACCCTAAACCACTTATTTTTCTTACGTATCTATGTAACTGTTCATAGGTACATGTATAACATAATAAGATATTTAAAAATACACCAATTAACAAACATGCACATGACTATTGTCAACTTACCTGTTACCGCTGTCAAGTATTTTGCCGTCTTTCCCTCCGCAGTTTGTAAAGTAATAGCATAATCCACTCCAGTTAGTCCTATAAGACAGTCAAACTCTATACGCCGCTGAAAAACAATCAATTTTAAATAAATAAAAAATATACCTATATGCACAGGAAGACTAAAACTAAAGCCTTACAATTGAGTTATTATAGAAAAATCACTTAAGAGATTACTGCTAAGATTGTGTGTACTACATTTGTGATGTCAATCATACATACTGTATGTCAGGCCTAAGTTAATAGAAAGACCTAAGTGTATAAAACCAGCTTTATAAAACCAACTTAAGGGCTAACTTAAGACCGTTTCAATAAACATTTTATCTGCAGTCAAGTTCTGTAGACTATAAATAAATGCTTTTTCCTGAGAAAAATTAAGAATTACAATGACAGACTCTTTTACTCGCAATGTGTAAATGCCCATAAACATGGATATTTAGAAATTAGAAGTGTCATTACATAGGAGTCATAAGTTTTAAATGTAAAATTTCTCAGTTAGGTCTTAAGACTGATTTCAGACTAAGGACTTAAGACTGATTTCAGATTTAGGAATATATATGAAACACAGCCCAGGTTTCCTAAAAGCATCAGGGAATTTTAACCCTTTCCTATCTAAAATGTACTTGTCCGTCTTTCATTCTGGACAAGACCATTTATTATGTTTGGTGAAAACTTTCAAAACATGTACTGATTGAATAGCGAACAGCACAGATCATGATTAGACGGCATGTAAATGCATGATGGTCTTAGTTTGCAATGGTCGCAAAAGTAGATTCTATAGAGAGTAGGCTATGGGTTAGATTATTGCAGACTTCTTAATCCAAATAATCTAAAAAGGTATATTTATAAAGAAAAACAGAATACTACTCTAGTTTGTTCGACTGCCTGTACCCAGCCAAATAACATTCGCTCCCAATCCCAATACTAAATTGTTTTTACATACATAAAATGCAGCAAAAATCTAGTTAATAGGTTTTTTTAATCTTTAGCAAATGTGTTAATTTTTCTCTTCGCAAGATCGAACTTTTATTTTGAAGAATAATTTGTTAGTGCTGATTGGATGAAACAGCCTTGTACTTCTGGGTTGCGTTTCATGGAAAGTTCTTCGTCTAAAATATGTTTAAGACCAAAACTAAGACAATTTTCATTTCAAAGAAAATGTCCATACTTCATCAATCTTCTGCGCGTGCCATTGCATTTTGTAACTTTCTACAGGAAAATGACTAAAATAAAAGTCTAAAAGTTTGATCGAAGATGAAGTATTTATCGAAACGGACTTACGTTCGTCCTATAGTTTGTTGTAAATCATCGGACTTAGGATACAAAAGGTCTTGTGTATTATAGTGTCACCCCTACTGAAAGGGCCAGTCATTTCTGACTTATGAGACACCTTTCGCTTGCGTACCATGTGACTCCCAACTCCTACCACTATGCCAGGCGCCAGGCGGATAGAAATCGGTAACCATTCATTTTAACTACCCCGCGGCTGACGAAGCGGTCATTTCGGAACGAGTCCCAGGAGAAACATTCGAGATTCATTTAGGACTTTGAAACGTAACCAGAATACTACCTTGTACTACAATTGGCCTGTAATAATTTTATTGGGAGATCTTTTTACTGAAAATTTCGACAAAGTTGACTCGGGGTAATGGAGAATAACCAATGTCAAACTAATCAAAGTTGAATACTTGACTTATGCGATATTAAAACAAGTTTAGACTGTATTTTTGACACATGTTTTGCTGAATTAACCACTGTCACACATTGTTATGTTATTGTGTTTTTCTTCTGTATTACATGCATGTATACGACCTTACGATTTTAAGCAAGTTAGATAACAAAATGAAACAACTATTGGTTAATGAAAAAAGCATACTATCAAAACAAACAAACAACAACGACAGCTCTTTCCTAATCAAAACTGCTACTTCAATGTACATCTTTGGTTCACTGTACTAATTTTATATTTGATATATTAGGTGTTACATGTATTTTATTATTTTTATTCCATTTCTTAACGACCAATCTGATTAACATCAGCTCCTAATTAACAGAACACATTCAAGAAAAAAACTTATTGAGTCATATTGCTTAACGACATTACAACGTTTAATTATTTTGTGTGTCAAATGCTTTATTCACAAATATCTTTTTTCATCATTACTCAAAACTCAATACCATTGAAATTCCAATTGTACTTCAGCTTTAAATATGATTTGATATAATTAATATCCTATGAAAACTTCTTTTCATAAAATATTAAAACATTTTAACTTGTACCTTCATTGTAATTAAAATAAAAAACAACGGCAACAACAACAATAAAACAATAAAATATAACTTTTCTCAATTGAACCTTTCTATTGACGGTAAATTTAATTTCCTGGATTAAAAAACAAATGAACTTAGAAATAAGATAAGGAGTAAACAACAACAATAACAACAACAACAACAACAAGCCAGATGAAAACATACCGCGCGTTCCCAAATTTTAATTATTAGATATGCTACAACATTGTTAGCAGTAATTATGTTGAAATAATTTACCTGTCTAACCAATTTAAAGGGTATGGTTGATTTTGCCTGGAATCATATATACAATATTTTATTCATTTTAGTGATAATTACACAGAATGCATGTACCTTATCAAGCGTCTATTGTATCAAAGAAATCCATACGGAATGCTGCCTATAATAAGTAATAGAAAGAGCATCGAAACACGAGGCTATTTGATTTGTACCGAGTATTTATCACATTGCCGAATGTTGTGATGTTCTCTCCCTTTTGTATCATAGGCAAAAATAAAAAAAAAACACGTTCATTGTCGTCACAATTTGGTATGGTACATTCAAAGTTTAAGGGATTTCAATATCAAACATTGAGTACCCATTAGTATAGTCACTATAGAGCCTTGTCAGACGGCATGGATGTACAGGCTGGCATGGCTCTATACTGGTGGTGACACAGACTTATCTCTTTTTGTTCGGCTAACAATCCTAATACAAGGCGCTGGTCATGATAGAAATAATAGAAGGTTATTTCAGTTTTCAACTCAAACACCATTTGACAGTGTATTTTAGTGATCATTTGCTAAACAATTTGGAAAAAAACTTTCAAATGTATACAATGAAAACATTTCTTGTTAAACGTGTGCCCATTATTGTACAAATAAGCGTTATTCTTGATACTATTTTTCTAAATGTGATGAATATATTTTTTTTATACTTTCTATATTTTCAGGCAGATTTCTTTACCAGTGTCAAACTACAAACAATATACATGTATAGAGGATATTTAAGTTTTTTTCTATGAATACAGGATACATTTTCATCGAGTGGTATAAAAAAGAATGTTTCATGAGTGGCGGTAGCCACGTGTTAAATATGATGTCTTTTCAAACCACAAGATGAAAATAAATCCCGTAGTTACAGAAAAAAAGCTTGTTTATTTATATACATTTTTTCTCTTTTTGATATTGGATCTACAAATTGCACTCTCTTAAATTTAGTGTCGTGTCTGTATTTAGAGAAAAGTAGTCGGACAAGATACCAGTGAAAATACGGAAAATATGTTACACTGTAGTGAAAAATAAAATATGTAGAGTGAAAAAACTATATAATACATGTATATACTTACTGGAGTGGTCATGTCGTAGTAATTGTCCGTAGCATAATTGTGGAACTGGAAAATTCTCTCCCTTGGGCATTTAGTATAAAATTCATCTATTTGGTCAGCTTGGCTGCTCGCTAGCCCCTCAAACGTTAGGAATACAGCTTTAGGCAATCGCCAGTCATTTTTATTCTTTGGGTTAATCACACCTATAAAAATACAGAGCAATAGTCTTGACAATGCTTAATTTATTCCTCCGTTACATCACAAGGGATGTGTGTACAGTCAAGGAAATAGAGAAAAAGAGAACCCTTAAAGAACGCAAAAGCTCATTTCTCAACACTAGTCAGATGATAATAAAAACTTAAATAATTAAATTCCGCTACATACAGGGTAAATATTAGTAAATATAAGTATCAAGGCACAAACCTTTTGGTAAAGAGAAGTCAAGTATTAAACTTCGTTCTGGAGAATAGTTTTGAAAATACTTCCAGTATGTCTTCACACCGTGAATAGTGGGCGCGTCAAAGATGGAGGATTCGGGAAGAAACTGTATTTTATTATCTTCTTTGTAATTTTCAACATCTGAAAAACATGATATTTATATACATATGCATATATCAATCCACTGGCACCGCCTAATGCATTAAGTTTAAAGAGACTGACCTGAGTTTGTTTTTGTTTTTTGGTTTTTTTTTACATGACGGGACTGGAAATACATTTTCGAGATTAATGTTCAATTAGATTTAGGTCTAAATTACACAAACATACTATTTTTTATTTATCTCTGAGTAAATATCTTCATTATCCTTCTGCTTTAAGTGCCCCATTTTATCTTTGTAAGGAATTTAAATCTTATATTTTCAGCCTTTTGAACCTCAGTGGAATTCATTTAAAATGTGATTTTTACCATTCAAAACATATCTTAATTGCACCGAGAAAAGCTATTGAACATTTGTTAATTTCATCCATGTATCCTTCTCATTAATCAATACGTGTCAATACATCAAAATTTCTACATTAATTAGTTTTCTGTTGCATAGGAGGACCTCGAAGTTAAGAGGACATTCATCTATCTCCATGTATAAGTCACTGATTACTAAATAGAATCAATCGATGTTCTAGCCATCCATGGTCAAATGGATTCAATCGATGATCTAGTGACCCATGGTCAAATGGATTCAATCGGTGCACTAGTTATCCATGGTCAAATGGATTCAATCGATGCACTAGTCATCCATGGTCAAATGGATTCAATCGATGCACTAGTCATCCATGGTCAAATGGATTCAATCGATATACAAGTCATCCATGGTCAAATTGATGCAATCGATGCACTAGTCATCCATGGTCAAATGGATTCAATCGATGCACTAGTCATCCATGGTCAAATGGATTCAATCGATATATTAGTCACCCATGGTCAAATTGATGCAATCGATGCACTAGTCATCCATGGTCAAATGGATTCAGTCGATGTACTAGTCATCCATGGCAAAATGGATTCAGTCGATGTATTTAAGTCATTTATGGTGAATGGATTCAGTCGATGCACTAGTCATTTAAGGCCAAATGGATTCAGTAGATGTACTAGTCATCCATGGTCAAATGGATTCAGTCGATGAATGGCTAAATGGATTCAGTCAATGTATTGCCGTCCATGTCATGTCGTCCATGGATTCAGTCGCTCACGTCGCACCATTTGCCCTTTACTCGTGAGGTTTGATAAGTACTTCTATTGTAAGTGTTGAAGCTATCTTCTTGGATTTTAAAAGTGCTTATTGATTGTATTAAGAGATTTTTTCATGCTTTCTTTTTCAATTTATCCGACAGAAACGGTGGAATGTTGAAATTTCACGTTACAGGTTACGTTATCACTTAATCACTTGGAAAATCAACAATTAAAATATCAGAAAGTGTGATACTCAAGAAACGATAAACATTTGGAAAGAAAAAACAAACATATATTATATATCTCTATTTTAGGTCACAATTAAATGTCGATATACATGTAGTACTAAAACGTAAAATACCTTTCTTGACACCTATAGAACAATTGAAAAACACCTCGTCACCACTAACTCTTGGTGGCTGAAAAAACAACACAAATCGTGTTAAGAATACTCTTTTCCAGTCGTAGCTAAACTAATAAAACTAAGGAAAACTTGTAAAAAATACTCCAAAAATAATTAAGATGTTTCCATTCTTTATATCGTAGACAATATCAGAGAGCTAGACCATTCATGATTTTCAAGCAGTCAGGCTGGATTCTTTATCGGCAAGTGCTTGTCATTCCATTATTACTTTGAATAATGCTATTATATCTGAAACTTGTATTATAGTTGATTTTGTAAACGCGTATTTCGTAGTACGAGACATTAAAGCGTCTTGATTAATCGGTTCTAGTAAAATTAATGAGCCAGATTATAAATAATAGATGGTTCTCTCATTATGACCTTTTGATTAGCCCGACTCTTCGAAAAATAGAGAGATCAATATTTAAATATGACATTATTATTATTATTATTATTATTATTATTATTATTATTATTATTATTTTGGTTAAGTTCGAATATTTTGGTTAAGTTTTTGCGAGAGAGGTCGTGTCTCCAAAACTACTTGAAGAAATAGACTGAAACCTCAGAGCATAATAGAAGGTCACTGTACAAGGTCCGTAACACTAACATGAATTCTGACAGAATTATGGTCATTTTTGAACTAAGAAAATTCTACATAATTTTGTTTTACTATTTAGCGCTGAGAATTAACACATTGCGGACTTAAGCGTATGAAAGACCGGTAGGTCCATTTCAATTTCATGAATTCACGATTTTATCTTTATGAATTCACAATTTAAACTTCGTGATTTCCCACTTTCTACATACGGAATTCAAGAATTCACGATTTCAGCTTCATGAATTCTCGATTTCAACTTCACGAATTAACTATTTCAACTTAATGAATTCACGATTTCAAATTCACGAATTCAACTTCGTAAATTCACGATTTCAACTTCGTGAATTCACGATTTCAACTTCACAAATTCACGATTTTAACTTCATCAATCACGATGACAATTTCATGAATTCACGATTTCAACTTCATGAATTCATGTTCATGAAGTTGAAATGTCCTCACCGGTCTTTCGTAAAAGCGCGTATCATTGTTTTTCTGAACTTTTCTCAGGAGAATGGGTGTAATTAAAAGTTTTACCTCTTTGACTTAAAATAAAAATGTTTATTGAAACGGTCTTAATTAAGTCCTTACTTTGGTCTTATTTCCTTGGACTTAGAATACAATTAGGACTTTTTATCTGATTTCAGGCAACAAAATTAAGCTGTATACCTTGTAAACAGATATACGACATATCGTACTTTACAAATATAGCGTTTGTTAAGAACAAATTTCATTGTATATCTTGTGAACATATGTGTGTGTTAAAATTATATCATCATGTGTCTAAATTTCACTAGTGCTTTGTTCAGAATACTTTCGGGCTTGTTTTTTTTAAATCAAGGTCTAAGATAGCTCTTTACGATAAAATAGCTCAATTTTTCCTAAATATTGTGTCGAATACAAAATAAAAACCCGGAACCTACTTTAGAACTTAAATAATAAATTATTCGTCTCCACTTTATGCAAAATGATTCGATTGCACTTCCTATTGCATTTTATATGTATCCAGGAATGATAGATGTCATAAACACAGGTGCTAGTGGCATTGATTTGACCTAAAATGTGTTTGACCTTGTTATTTATACAATAAAATATCAATATATTAAAAAAAAAAAAATTTCACTGTTATATTATTATAGACAAGGTATGCAACATTCAGGTACGAAAATTATGGGTACGCCGGTTATCTGTGTTAAAATTTTTCTTCGGGCGGTAATGTCGTCGGATTTTTGCATGGAATCAATGCACAATATATTTTTCTATTACAATTTCCTATTTACAGATCCCCAATTAACCGCTAGTTAATGTTATAACGCCCGAAAGTAAGAAATAACCCAGGTCCGAAAGATGAGACCGTCATGACATTACATTTTAAACCCGGGATTTTTAACCCTTTAAATACATCAAAAAAAATAAAACGGGGAACCAAAACATGCAAAAAACTGGATTTTACCCCATTTTAATTTTTGTTATGCTCCACGAGTTTAACTTAAATCCTAAAGAGCCTGTATTTAAAGAAAATATTCCCACATGTAGGGGCAAAAAATTTTTGGAAGTTAATTTCCCACCGGAAAATATTTTCCGGCTTCCGTTTCAAAATTTCATTGACATTTTGAGCCCAACAAAAGGGGAAAACCAAAAAACACCCTGTTGCGGCCCTAAAAAAAACACCCTTCCCCCATTTTGAAAATTTCCTTTTTTAAAAGAGAATTTTTTTTTTAAAATTTTCGGGGGACATAGGAAAATTTAAAGCCAAATTTGTGGAGGGGAAAACCAATTTTTTAAAATAAAGTAAAATCCAGTTGTTTGCATGTGTGTTCGACCCGTTTGATCTCTTTGTTGATGTATTTCAAGCGTAAATACCAGGTTATAATGTACATGTCATGACGGTCTCATCTTTCGGACCTGGGTGATTTCTTACTTTCGGGCTTTATAACATTAACTAGCGGTTAATTGGGATCTGTAAATAGTAAATTGTAATAGAAAAATATATTGTGCATTGATTCCATGCAAAAATCCGACGATATTACCGCCCAGTGAACAATTTTAACACAGATAACCGGCGTACCCATAATTTTCGTACCTGAATGTTGCATACCTTGTCTATAATATTAATATAACAGTGAATTTTTTTTTTTTTTTTTTTTTTTTTTTAATATATTGATATTTTATTGTATAAATAACAAGGTCAAACACATTTTAGGTCAAATCAATGCCACTAGCACCTGTGGTCATAAAGTAGAGAATAAAATCTCAATTATACTGAAACAATAACAAAACAAGGAAAGAAAATGAGTACATACAGATTGTGAACAGTTGGTTGGACACGAAACAAATGTTATATCCTTATTCGGTTTGCATTCATCAGCAGCCGACAAACTGCATAGTATCCCCAGAATCACACACGACAAGCATTTCTCCATCATTGAATAATGTTATTACATTTGTTTTCTGCGAGAGTTATTATTGGATTCCATTTTTCCCGCATAGCGACAAATCTGAAAAGTATAGATATAAAAAGATAAATTGACATCTAGTTAATCATCAAGTGGTTGTAGTGTTGGTAGTTTTTACTCCGGATCACGGCAGTAAGCCACATTGAATTTACCAGAGCACAATTCAGCCACTGCATCGTTCCTGTGCAGGCTGTCAAGCAGTTTACCAGTACTAGTTGCCGTCACAGATAACTTCTGTACATGCTAGAGCAGGGATACAGTGCAAATGACAGTTGAAAAGATTTATTTTAGTTCGATTGCGTTGGAAGCTTTATAGCTTTTTGAACCACTCCCGAATCCGTTTTTGGAACTAACTAGTACCTAGCAATGAGTGCAGAATTTCTTGCCCAAGGAAACAACAGCTTGTCCCTGACGGGTTTGAACCCACGCGGTCAGGAATCTTTAGATTACTAGTCTGACGCATTAACCACTCGGTCTCGCCGCCATACAAAGACTTGTTCTAATTCCACTATATAGTACTAACAGTAGTCGAGCGCGCTGTCGAAAGGACATCTCTTGTTTATCTAACAGACAGCTCGTCTAACAAAGACCTCTGTGTTGGTTATAATTTGATTCCGCTTCACCACCATACATCTATATATCACATTATCACATGTATTTAACAGATCACGCTGTTTATTCCCGTAAAGAATTTTAGCTCGAGTAACCAATATTATTGGAAAATGGCTTCATTTCATAGCATTATTCTCGAAATAAACCAGTACAAGGAAGCAGTTTTTTATCTCTGAGTCAAACCTAAGGTGCGACATTAATGATTATAATTAAAACATACATAGTTTCTGATGAAATATAGAGCATGGTATGTTGACAAAATACCATAACATTAATATGGTCTCGTTGACCTCGGCATGGTCTCGTTAACCGAAAGGAATTAAATCTTTATGGTCTCGTTGACGAAGGAGAATAAAATCGGTATTGTCTAGTTGACCGAGGGGAAAAACTCGATACGGTATGACCGAGGGAAAAACATTGATATGGTCTGGTTGACCGGGGGAATTAAATCAGTATTGTATGGTTATTAGAGGGGAATAACATCAATATGGTTTTTTTGCTGACCGAAGGGAATAAAATCAGAATGGTATGGTTGTCCGAGGGGAATAACATCGATATGGTATAGTTGACGGAGGGTAATAAAATCGGCATGGTAAGGTTGACCGAGGGGAATAAAAATAGTATGGTATTGTTTGACCGAGGGTATTACATCGATAAGGTATGGTTGACAGGAGGGGAATAACATCGATATGGTATGGTTGTCGGAGGGGAATAAAAGTGGTATAGTATAGTTTGACCGAGGGGTGTAACATCGATATGGTTTTGGTTGACAGGAGGGGAATAATATCGATATGGTATGGCTGACCGAGGGGAATAAAATCGATATGGTATGACTGACCGAGGGGGGTTAAATTGGTATGGTCTCGTTGACAGGGTAAAATGAAATAATTATACTAATTATGACAAAATACGAATCTATTTTTAACTTCTGTAGCCTTGTTATTGACCGGAGATAACCCATATTCGACCTTGACCTAGAAATCTTCAAAACAACCTTTCTGGCCAAATAATATCAAATAAACCTTCCTGATTAATTTCCATGATATTTGGATCAAAACTGCAGCCACTAGAGTGTTTACAAGAGTTTTCTTTTTTTAGCTCCTGTGACCTAGTTTTTAATTGGAGATGACCCGTATTCGAATTTGACATAGAAATCATCAAAACCACCTTCCTAGCCGATTTCCAGAATATTTGGATCAAATCTGCTGCAAGAGTTTTCTATTTTTAGCTCCTGTGACCTAGTTTTTGACCGAGATTACCCATATTTGAACTTGGCCTGTACTTCATTGACACAAACATTCTGACCAAGTTTGATTATGATCCAATCAAAACTATGACTGCTAGAGTGTTAACAACCCAAATTTCGAAAACAACGACGCACGACGACGAACGCCGGGCAAAACCCCATCACTATACCTCACCTGAGCTAAAAAAAAAGTGAGAATATTAGAAATTGCAACATAGTGCTATAGATTTATCACAATATGCTCTAGAAACCGTCTGCTTTTAAATTATTGGCCTATTTCTTCAGACAATTTCAAGGAGCGTCTCGTAGCGTCTCACGGCGTCTGTAAGCAGGATATTGAGATGTGTCACAATTCACAGATCTCGAAACTCCCAATTATTGATCTTTCAAAAGTTCTCATCAGGTGTCAGCATAAATGACAATAAAAGTCATCTAGGAGTCAACTGAGAACAGGAAGCATATTGCAAACGACAATGTGTCACTTTAAGTTATTATATTCTATAAATGTACATTTTATGACTACGTTAACAATAGATTCTAGATTATACGTTGATTATTTCATTGAAAATTTAAATTGTTGTTCTTAATTTCTTTTTTTCTCCTGACTTTCTCTCTTTTCTGTTTTTTCCTTTTTTTCCATAAATTTATATCAATACGTAGATAAGTATAAACATGTGTGTTATCCGCTATCAGATACATAGCTTCGCCTGCGTGTTTTTGTAAATCAAGTCATCGTGATGAAATTAGATATTGGACAACCAGGTATAGGGTTTCAGTCATTTAGAATCTAGTTCAACTATAGATAAAGTTTCGTTTAAACATATTTATTTTTAGCTCGACTGCGAAACAAGTTCTTGCAACATATATTAATCATATTTGATGTCGCTTCCTGGAACTAACCAATACTGGTGTCATATGAAGAAACACGGTCATGACCCGAGTAAGGCTCGAACCCATGATCCCTGTGTTGATATGGAGACACCTTAACCATTAGGTGACCCCTCTTCTCATATTGATTTTAGAAAAACATAACCTTGTTGACAGTAATAAAACACAGTATATTAGATTGAAAAAAAATCAGTGAGGCTAATTGCAACTTTTAATACTTGAACAAAAATGAAACATGTTTCAGAGGAACATGGCACTTCAAAAACACACGGACCAAGGCGTATGTAGATATCTTGAATATATTTCTGGAATTGTAAACATTGCAATGTGATATTGCAAGTGCACAAAATCTTCTTTAAAGAAAAATAATTCGACAGCTGTTGTTGAATGTTAAAACCGCATATATTTTATATAATATCGTGTTAGATATGCAAACTTATTTCTTACTTAATAAAATAATAAGAAATTCAACGGCTTGTTCAAATATCCGCTTTCCAAAACATGTATCGTATGTCTTTCAAAAATGAATTAACCCTAGCAACGTTAAATATCTTACACGAATGTGTCCGTTTTTCAAACTAGACCGAACAATTCATCTTATTTTAATAAATAATTTCAAAATATATGAGCCGCGTCATGACAAAACCAACATAATGGGTTTGCGACCAGCATGGATCCAGACCAGCCTGCGCATCCGCGCAGTATGATCAGGATCCATGCTGTTCGCTATCAGATTCTCTACTTGTTATAGGTTTGTAAGCGAACAGCATGGATCCTGATCAGACTGCGCGGATGCGCAGGCTGGTATGGATCCATGCTGGTCGCAAACCCATTATGTTGGTTTTGTCATGGCGCGGCTCATATACTGAATGACTGAATAGCGATCAGTGCAGACCATGATCAGACGACAACGATATGCTGATTGGTTTGGTCTGCACTGGTCGTCACTGGGCAGAACAACAAGATTAGGATAAGGAAGTCCGTTGAAAATTTCATAACATAACAAGAACAATGACATAACAACAACAATAACAATAACATTATATAACAACAATAACATAACACAACAACAACAATAACAATAACATTATATAACATAAACATAACATAACATAAATTAACATAACAATAACATAAGATAACATAACAACAACAATAACAATAACATTCTTTAACATAAACATAACATAACATAACAACAGTAACAACAACAATAACATAACATGACAACAATAACATTATATAAGATAACATAAAACAACATAACAACATTATAGCATAATATAACATAAGCATAACATAACATAACAACAACAATAACAATAACATTATATAACATGAACATGAACATAAAAATAACATAACATATCATAACATAATATTTAGGCATTAAATGTTACTTTCATATCCATATCATATCGTGTAATATACAAACATATAGAGCGCAAGTTCTTGGTTAACAAAGAATTATAATTATACGTGCCGACCTACATTATATGAAAGTACTAGTATTTGAATTCTGATATTTATCTGCTTTGTTTTTGTGAACTTTTGACCCCACATTCTCCTAAATGAATACGAGAAATAAAAAAATATCTTATTACGGAAGCAATATTCAATTGTGATCAGAAAAAAAGGAAACCCCATTTTTAATAAGATAATCATGTATTATCGCTGTATAAGAGAAATGGTAATTACGATCGATGCCCTCCATATAGCAAATCTTTGATTTAAAGGCACATAGAAAGGAATAAATTTCCCTTCTTAAGAAAAGAAACGCATGAGTTTTATAATGTTTAGTGCCTGTTGAAAGTAGCGCTAAATGTGAAATGATGTCATAAAAGTAGCAAAATGTAAACAAATTATTATTTTGATACGAAAGACTAAATCACTATATCTTTACTAATTGTCAAAAGGCAAAAGAAACAAAAGAATAAACATAGTGTGTTTGCGACCAGCATGGATCCAGACAAGCCTGCGCATCCGCGCAGTCTGATCAAGATCCATGCAGTTCGCTATCTGTTTCTCTACTTGTTATAGGGTCTATAAGCGAACAGCATGGATCCTGATCAGACTGCGCGGATGGTCTGGATCCATGCTGGTCGCAAACCCATTCTGTTGGTTTTGTCGTGACACGGCTCAGATGATTCAGGAAATGGTCCAATGAGTATCTTTTTCGAACGTATAACAGGACCCCGGAAATAAAAAGCTTTTGAGAGAAAAAAAGAATATCTGGGACAAATTGGGCCTTAAAAATAGAAAACAGAACATTATAAATATACATGTATATATTACTTACATTACTACTACATATAAATTATTCAGTAAATAGGCTACTATGTAATATATATCATTTATATCTATACAACATATGTTTATAATAATTATAGGATGGAAATGGACGTGTAAATAAAAATCTGAATATTGATTGGTCAATGAGGAAAAAAGAAAAGTAAAGAAATGTATATGACACTAAATGACATTATGCTCATTAATTCTTTCGCTGTCATGTAAATTGAATTTTTAATATATTTCAAGAAATTGGCTAACATAACGGTAATTGGCCTCTAATTGATAATAAAAATATGGTTATGATACAATACAAAATGTATAAAAAAGTTCTTAAATCATAAAAAGACTGTCTAACACTTTTTGAAAATTGAGCGTTACTGATACATGTATACTGAACGAAATTTCCGTTGATCACGTGGTTTAGCGATTTATTTTTTTATACTAAAAATAAACTTTTAACACAATGGTAAAATGTCAAGTTATTTTTTTATTTCTACCTGTTTACTGACAATTTTCACGTCTTGGATGGACATAATATCATAATAAATGAAAAGATTCACCCATAAAAACACACAGTACAATTAACGCACATATTCGTTCCAGAGTAATAATTTCTTAAGCTACAAACCCCTCTTAATTAACGACTGTGATAGCTTGTTCGTAGTCATGGAGACAAAGTCCGTTCGAAATTCTAATGATCAGAAAAATAAAATCGTGTAATTCGAGAATCATGGGCATTTTGTAAAAAAATTATCCAAGTTTTCTCAATTTTTCCCCCTCATATTTTCATATTTATCATCTGTATACTTTATTAATTACAGATCAAGTAAGATTTTACTGGGGTTTTTGTCTTCATTTGTTGAATGTTGAAATATATATATCCCTTTCGGATATTATTGTATTAACGACATACAAGAATAAAATGGTATTCATTTTCAAAATCAACAACATTGACAATATCTCTCGTTTCGTGTTTATCTATTACTAATACATTTGCATATTTTCAATTTACAGAGAGAGTGCGAGTAATTTACTCAAACTATACGTGATAAAAGGTAAATTTCATGTGATATATAAGTTTTGCAGAGTCCATAAAGATATAAAAAAGTACTGTATGCCATAGCATGATCACAGGTGGGAGTATCAGTGTTTGGACACCCCACACCACCCTGCCCCTAGACCCCTGCTACAACCCTTAAAAAATAATTCAACACTCTAAGGCTTGCTATCAGATGTCAAATACAAAACCACCGATAGAACATTTTTTTCTATAACTATAATTTTGATAGTGGAAAAAGTCTTGTTATTATTTTTATCGGTGATTTTGTATTTGGTATCTTATATAGAGTAAGCCTTAAATTATTTTTTCCAGGGTATAGCAGGGGTTCATGACACCATTCTTGCATATTTAAGTCTGTGTTAAAGTATATACTAGGAAACAAATTCAATGTAAACTTATCATTCTACATATAATTATATAATGACCAGCAAAACATTTGTATAAAATTTTCGCTAAACATTTGGTACCAAGTTATTGTCTGTAGATATAGAACATATCAAACCTTGTCAGTATTTAATTTATTAATTATCATCTTACACCAAAACATAATTATTTTAGCAAAACAATCAACATATAATGGAATTCTTTCTTAATTATTATTCATAAACACAAATAGTGCATACATGTACTTGTTCTTATATACAGTATATAAAACATTTTAACGAATCTTAGATGACCCGTTCAATTTCTTAAGATTTAGAATAACCCCATGCCTGTATATGATTTATTGATTTATATGTATATGACTAAGCGAATAAAACGAACACTTACTTTCATTTTATGATTTCAAACAGCTGATTTATATCCGTTAGTATATATACAATATACTAAGTCATAAAACACATTTCATCAATTCAATCTTTTCGGAAATATTCGGTTATTTCCCACCACTGTGTTAAATGTTCATTACACATACATGTAGTTTCTAAATTACATGCGACACTTTGTTTAAAAGTTCTTTTCACGATACCAACTTGTTATACAAAGTCGTCTACAATTATAATAACTTAAAATTTAACTATTGGAATCCACATATTGATCTTATACAAAACTTAACCTTTATTGTTAACTTCCGCCTCCAAAAAAAAAAATCTTAAATTTAAATATGTCTTAAACCTAATGTTATCTACACAAGGAAGTGCCTAAGTCAGTGAAGCGATCCGTAGATATTTAACCTTATTTATACACCACACTGTAGTACCATACAAAACATGTTACCCGAGCACGTATTCATACAGGAAACCATGATAAACTCGTATCGCAACACGACGGGTATTAAAGTTTAACAATGTATTGAATCTGTACCACACGTAATTAGCAAATTGTTTTGTCATTGTTATAAAAGCCTTTCTTCTTGCAAATCCAAAAAGTAATGTAAGAAAATGATAATTGTTGTAATTCTGCTTTCTTTCTTTCTTGTTTTTTTTTATTTCTTTGTATTTTTGTGTGTCTTTTTTCCTGATCTTTCATTCTCTTAGAATTTACCACTTTGCTATACAACAATTTAGATACATACCCGTGCAATGCCCCGAGATTCATATATAGAAAATATTGAATGAGTGTAAGTTCGCTACTAAATTTCTTGAATATTTTGAATAAAATCATATAATTAATGCGAGCCTCTGGTGAGAATAATATCATTTTATTCAACGAGTTCAATAAATTCAGTTATGAACCTTCACGAATATAATATTCTATTTATCACATGCCAAAAATGAAACTGTTCAAACTGAAAAAGAATCATGTTTTCATTGACGCGCTTAAAATGGTGTAACGCTACATTTAGCGCGTCTTTACAACGCAAATGTCGTCACGTCAAAATATATGTACAAGTGCGCAATACCATTTTTACGGGCACGGGTATGTGACAAACTCTGATATTTTAAAATCCTACAGTCTTGTTCTTTTAAACTGACCCTTTTTTCAGTTAAGAAAATTTGTTTAAATTTTGTAAATTCTTTGGCGGCGCTTCTTCGATAACCACTTAGAGTTATTTGTTTATTTAAGCGCATTTGCTGTCATTGTACAAAACGTTTATTGAACATATGCTACCACATGATGTCTCTATGTAGGAAGTATAGAATATTATTCAAACGTACAGCTCAAATTCGCTATTCCTTTCATTATGTGTTTACAGTTATATTGACAAATAGGGATGTCGATAAGAGTATACTATTTATCTCCTAAATCTTTTACCACCAATCAACCACTCAATTTTATGCTTTTAGCATAATAGCGTCTGTGAGTATAAATACCCTGGTTCGAATCCTGTAAAAGGCATCTTTTGATTTCTTTTTTTTATTATTATTTTCTAACTTTTGTTTGTATGTTTTTTTTACAACGAGCTGGATTTTAATTCCCCGTGTATTTCATTCACACAATGCTATTTGAGAACATTTAGTTATACAAACATTTGCAATGAATATGTTAAATATAAGACAACACAGTCGTGATAAGGGTGATAAATGAGCAAGAAAATATAATTGTTAAAAATGTGGCGAATGTAATTCAGAGTTTCAAACGAAATAAAATGGACAACTCTATAATTATATAGTCAATCTGTTCAATGATAGTTAAAAATCAAATACATTCAATATTGCTTAACCTTCATAATTTAACTTTAAGTTGTGCAAAACATTATAAAGGAGAGAGAATAAATATAAAGAATAAATATATTTAGATAATACTGAATTATATAATTTCACCTGGAGCTGTTTGAGCACACAGATCATTTGATAGACAAAAGCTTTGTTCCTGAAAATTGATGTACAATAATTTGATTCATTTTTCGATACCCATGGTTGTGCAATCAAGTCCCCCCCCCCCACACACACACACACTCCCGACATTTCTATGGTGTCCTGGTTCAGACATTTTAATGGTCGCCTGTTAAGATTTAAGATCGACTAAATATCTTGTTTGAGCTCGACTATTCGAAGAATATTATGGGGGGGGGAAGGGCTATTGTGCTATCAAAGGCCCGTAACACTTTTGGATTTTGACAGAACTATATATGGCCCTTTTACGAACTTAGAAAATTCTACATTACCCAGGCGCTTCTTTTACTATTTAGCATTGAGAATAGTCGAACACTCTCTCCTACAGACAGCTCCTGTTAATAGATAAGAAGTTAGATTTTAAAACATTCTCTGTGTTTTATCCTTGGCTTTGTAAATAAGCTACAGTTTAAGCAAGAATACGCTTTTGAATGGCTATCGCTGCTGGGAGTGAAGTCATATAAGTATGCTTCAAATTACCTAAATCTTTAAGAACTTTAAAAGTGTAATAAACGTGCATTAAGGACAGTCAGTACTTTCAGTATTACAGCGAGTGATCATCGATCAAAGTAAAAGAATAATTACGTATATTAATTATATTCGAACATGACGAATGTTTAGCCTTACATGAAATGATCGATCCTTTCCAAAGAGTCTCATTTAGCATCTGAAGTCCGACCTTTTCTTATTCATTCTCTTTCTTGTCCATTGCTAGTCTTAATCAAGGGGTTGGGGTTTTCTGTAGACTTCTTAGGCTATATGCAATGTTATTGGCCACATACTCATGTACTGTTCCATTCCTTTCTGTTAACATTAAAGATAATATACATTTCATAGTCTTCAAATTTATATAGTACATTAGATTTAATTAAGCGTATAATAAGGTACAGGACTATGCTAGATGACGTTTCAGTTCACGGATTAAGTCCCGAGTTACGGGAAATATCACACTCAATTTATGAAACGGAATTTAGTGTCACACAACAACAATGGCTGACGAAGAAAAGTCGCTTCCAAATTTGCAAAATGGGACACCGGTCCCAAAGATTACCCCAACTCAAGCAAACACAACGGGTGAAATGAGTAGACCAAATAATTTACAAAGAATTGCTCAAAAGAAAGCATTGGTACGGAGCTATCCTCGAACAAAGAAACTTGAAAAACTAGCTGTTTATTCGTCCTGCAAGGTATTCGACCCATGAGAATTTCTTTTTTCTTGAATTGTGATATTATATTGAATCTATAATAATTTTGATTGAAGAAATAATTCTTTAAATGCGTAGACAGTTTATAATCAAATACTAAGTGATTGACATTAATTAGGAATTCCTATTAATCAGGCTGGTGAAATTGCCAGATCGGGCTTAAAATGAAAATTGCACATTTCTTGGAAAGTATCAAAGTTAATTTTACCTTTTTAAAGCATATTATTTCCTACCTAATTTGTGATGTATAAGAACTAAAATTAAATGAATTTTAGTTATTACACAAGAATATTTTGCCTTTGTTGGATTTAAAGCAGCTAAAATTTTCAAAGTCCAAGAACATGACTTTTTAAAATGAATTCCAATTGAATTTTGAGTTTTATATGATCAGATATATTCATTTGAATGCGCCATCATGTAAATTATGGCAGTTCTAATCTGTGTAAATTTTTTTTAGCAAAAACATGTAACCCCTGTGGTTGAGTGTGGTCAACAATTGTTATGCAATTAAAAATACAGCATACAATACAGAAATTTAAGGTGCTGGCGCATTAGAAGAGATACCCAGGATGCAAAATAATCCAGATTTTAGGAAAAAGGCAAATGCAAAAGATGTGTTTATGGTCTTAAAAAAATTGGACCATATAAAAATGAAAAAAAGTGATGTGAAATCCGTATTACTCGTAATAAAAAATGTAACGTTTGTTTATGTCTATCTAATTATAATGCCTAAGATATATCACAAGTTTAAGAGCAATATCTTTGACTGTTTTTGAGAAATTACACTTTTTCATTTTAAGCCCGATCTGGCAATTTCACCAGCCTGTTGATTATATTAAATCAGGGTCTTTCAAATAGAAATTTGAAAGACCCTGATTAAAATGTAAAATTATCACTCTACTGTAACTGTTGTTGTAAATTCTTAATTTTGTGATATTTTATTATTTAATTATTTTGTGGTCGGAAAGACTTTTAATCACAATTAAGAATTCTTGAGGTTTAAAAGTATCCCTGGTTTAACTACAATAGTAAGATATTAATTGTTTGTTTCCCTTTGAATGATATAATTAATACAAGTTTGTTTCTGCATTTTTATATACAATTTAGAATTTACATTTTAACCTTATTAATTACTTTTTGCTTTTAAACAGACCGAGGGATGTAAGTGCAATGGTTGGAAGAATCCAAACCCCCCACCTACTCCTCCAAGAGTGGATGTATCCCAACCACTGCAGACTTCCCGAAAGTTGAAAAAAACTGTCAGACATTCGGTCTGACAAACCATGAAAATCTGTCGGACCGATACAAAATCTGTCGGACCAAACAAATAGATCTGTCGGATCAAAATCAACGAAAAACTTGTGTTTGTATTTCTAAGACACTTTTTGTTTTTTATTTTTTTGCCGTAAAAATCGGCACAATCCGTACAGGGCATTTTCATCTCCTCCCTGTCATACACCAATGATTCATGGTTCTGCTTCCATTTTTCATTAAATTTTGTCTCAGGTCTATTCTTTTCATCCTTTTATTGCTGTTCTGCGCACTCTTCTGACGTAGATTTTTGTTTTTTCCGAGGTTTGGCACCTTTAGCGACGCCATTTTGTATACATGCGGCTTGGATAAAAGCCGGACAGTCGGACCGATCCGGAATAAAAAATTGTCGGACCTGATCAAAATTTATCGGACATGTCCGTCGGACCGACGTATTTCGGGAAGTCTGCACTGGCAAACCTTACAGACCCTTGTAGGAGCTGTTCCCATACTCTCGGTAAATTTTATATCTGTTTATACTCCTAATAAAATTACTTTTCTTCAATGACAGAATCTATTTGTAAATACAGATTTTAATCGATTTTAAAACAGTATGTGTAGTCTTAATTTAAGAACATGTTAAAGTTCCAGGATAATTAGTCTATTGTAAATTCTAATAATCGGAAAAATAAAAAGTAAAGTCTATTGTATTTCAGATGCACATGTTTCACACTTGGAATCAACAGCTGAAGAAGAGTTAAACAGATTGTTAAGGATTGTTGTGGATGTTGAGAATTTATTTATGTGTGTTCATAAGGAAGAAGATGCGGAAACAAAACAAGTCTATTTTTATCTGTTTAAGGTATATTTAAAGTATAGTTAATTGTTTATAGACATGTTCAGCATTGAACAAATTTAAGTCTATAATTTATATTTGATGTGAAACCAATTATTAGCTCGATATTTGAAGGAATAGGGAGAGCTGTTGTAATCACCCAGGTGTCAGTGTCACACTTTGGTTAAGTTTTTGGATGCAGGTTTGGATCTCCAAAACTGGGGAAGGGAATTGGTTGAAACTTCACACATTTATTTGAGTCAGTGTCCAAGGTCCATAATTCTTACACGGATTTTGACAGAATTCTGGCCCTTTTTTAATATAAATTTTTTATTTGAAAAGTCCAACATTATCCAGGCTCTTATTTTACGATCAAGCACTGAGAATAGTCTGACATGCTGCCTAACTGACAGCTCTGGTTTATTAAATTTTCACAAATTTGATGTTCTTGTCTAGAAAACTTTGCTGAAGTTAGACCTGTACTAGTCTAACAGTAAATATCTACTGTCACTAAGATCAAATTGTCTGGACCCTATTTAAACAAATTTTTAAGAATTATAGCATAATTGTGATTGAGTTTTTATTAGCTCATCTGTCACAAAGTGACAGGGTGAGCTTTTGTGATCGCTTTTCGTCCGGCCGGCCGTAAACACATACAGTTGAGACTGCCTTAGCGACCCCCTGATTTAAACGACTCCCTGTCTTATCCGACCTTGTTTCAGTACTCCCAACGTATTTTCCTATATAAATGGTCTAAATTAAACGACTCCCTGTCATATGTGACAAGCGACCCTAATTGTCAGGTCCCAATGCAATGTTTGGTCTGATTTAAACGACTTTCACACCTTTTAATTGTCCGTTAAATCAGATAAATAATACCTATTATAACACCCAGAGAGCCAAAATAATTAAGTCCAATTATAATCCAGTAGCAAACAAAGTCTACACACCTCTATCTTAATTACACAGTTGACATGTATAAATGCAGGTATCAAGTGAAGTAGCGTCTGTTTATTGGAAGCATGACGCAATCGATGTATGTGTAATGTACATTATGGCCTGTGTAAACTGGTTAAGACTTGCGTTAGATTTTTTTTTAATTATAGAGTGCCCACGGAAGATTTTTTAGGCAGCATATTTTTTTATTTACCTTTCTATGACTGCATAATTAATACGGAAAAAATATTCATACTAAACCAGAAAAAGCTTTGGATATGGATATGTTGAATGATCCTGTAACACAATTTTTCATGGTTTTATTTCATAAATATGATGCTCAAATTAAGATTTGTCAATATTGTAAGTTCAAATAAGCATTATTTATAAAGATATCACCCAATTTAACATTAAATATAAATAAAGGCCATTAAAGGGAGGTAATTAGAACTTTATTTTTATGAATTCTAAGTTAAATTTTCCAATAAGTAATCAATGCATATAATTTATTGATTAAATATAATGTGCACAAATATTTTCAGTACACATTTTACATATTCTTTGATGTTTGAAAGTTGATTTATTTGCATAATTATATCCATATATATTTTTTTTGCAAGTGTTGTATACACTCTCACAAAACATAAAGGATCTTTAAGTCGACAGCTAGATGATACTTAAATTTAATTTTTTTTGAGACTGTATTAAGAGACTCCCTGTCATATGTGACCTTTTTCTGAAGATCCCTTGGAAAGTCACATATGACAGTCTCGACTGTATAGTAAAAACTTAAAAAATCTTCTTTTAAAGAACTCAAAGAGTTAGAGCTAATATATTTAGCATGAAACATGTTCTAATGGGTGTCTACCAAGTTTGTTCAAATAAAAGCCCTGGGGTCAAAATTGGCCCGCCACGGGGGTCATTGATTTTCCTTATATGTGTATATCAAAAACTTAAAAAATCTTCTTTGAAAAAACCCAAATAGCTAGAGTTTAGATATTTAGCATGAAACATCTTCTAGTGAGTGTCTACAAAGTTTGTTCAAATAAAGGCCAAGGGGTCAAAATTGGCCCCGTCCCAGGGGGTCATTGATTTTCCCTATATGCATATAGTAAAAACTAAAAAAATTTTCTTTTAAAGAACCCAAAGAGCTAGACTAAGAGCTAAGATATTTAACATGAAACATCTTCATATGAGTGTCTACCAAGTTTGTTCAAATAAAAGCCCTGGTGTCAAAACTGGCCCCGCGCCAGGGTGTCATTGTTTTTAACTATATGTGTATAGTAAAAACTTAAAAAACCTTTTTTTTAAAAACCCAATGAGCTAGAGCTTAGATGTTTAGCATGAAACATCTTCTTATGGGTGTCTATCAAGTTTTTTCAAATAAAAGCCCTTGGGTTAAAATTGGCCCTGCCGGGGGGGGGGGGGTCCCTATATACAGGTGAGCAACCTCAGGGCCATCATGGCCCTCTTGTTCAAAGTTCAGAACCATACACAAATCTTTTAAGCCATGTTCCTGCAGGTGTAACATAATTATGACACAATTTGCAGTTGACTGAAAGTGTGATTTTTACATTGAGTCACCTAATTTTTATAGCTCCACTGTACTTAGATTTTGTTGTTTTCAGCTGTTGCGGAAGTGTATTCTAAACATGAGCAATCCCACCATAGAAGGCCCCCTAGGGAGTCCACCATTCGAGAAACCAAGTATTGCTAAGGTAAACAAACAGCATATATTTAAATTATTAAAGGAAATGATTTTCATTTTACTAATATTTACATAAAATTAAAAGTTGTGATGTATTTACTGCACACTCCGCACTTAAAGTGATATTTTCCCCTTATATAGACTATTAGTAATATAATATAGCAGAGGACTATATCAGGCCTCTTCCCAAGTTTCTTAATATCATGCAGTTTTCCCAAAAATCTGAACTTACTCCAGCTTTTTGTACTTCCAACAATTTTAGTGATAATTCTTCCCAAAATCAAGAGGCTTAGACCTCCCCCCCCCCCCCCCAAAAAAAAAAAAATGTAAGAAAATCATTGATTAGATCGTTCACTTTTCATAGACCATGTGTTTAGAAAGCTTTTGCTGAAAACACTATATTTATTACAATCAAAATTTCATTTTATATTTGTTTTTTAGGGATTTTTTTCCTTTTATAGCAGGGGCTGTTTAAAGGACGGCTTCCCTAAAGAAAAATTCTTTAAAATCATGCAGTTTTCCCCAAAAAATGAATTAATATTGAGTATTTTCTTTTGCAAATATACCATATAATTGCCCCAAAAAATTAAGGGTAGGCTGGTTTCCCCAACACGTGAAACAAGCCCTGTCTTTAATGATTTGTTTCATATACATATATAATTACCATCACTGTCTTATTAATACAATTTATTCAATATTTTCTCACTTTAGGGTGTGACGAATTTTGTGTTGTATAAATTTGGTCACCTTGCACAGAGAGATTGGCAAACAATGTATGATTTAGCCAAAATGTTTCTACACTGCCTCAATCACTGGAAGCTAGAAACACCGACTAGTCGACAAACACACTCCGGCACCGATGATATTGCTACATATAAAGTGAACTACACAAGGTATATATGATCATTTAGCCGGTTGACAGTAACAGAATCAACCCTTGCGACCAGTGCAGTCTAAGATAGGCAGACACATCTGTGCCATCTGATCTAATCATGGTCTGCACTGTTTGCTATTTAATCAGTAGATTTTGTAAATATTGCCTAAACTTGGCAAATGGTCTTGTTCAGATTGAATGATAGTTAAATCCATGTAAGATATATAGCATGGTAAGGGTTAGTAAATTAATCATGCAGTTTATCTGTACGTTTTATGTTTTATCAGTTACTTTCAATTTTTCATAAATTTGTATAAGGGTGTTGATTTTTTTGTATTTCACTCTACAGAATGTTTCAAATATGTCGTATATTTACTTTGAAAATCACAGAACAAGTCCCGCAATCTAAATATTTTGAGAAAAACTTTTGATGAGTCAGTGTCTTTTATGTGTATACTTTGTAAACAATTAATAATCTTTTCTTTGAATTTTCAGATTCCCAACTTTATGATATCAGATAATGTACAAAAACAAATTTACAAAAAAGTCGCAGGTGTGTAGCTTTAATAGATGCAATTTTAACAAACACTTAAAAGCTGTGTTTTTTGTTTACAGATGGTTATGTTACTGCCATGTTCCGGCATTTTGCGATACTCTTCCACGTTACGAGACAACTCTGATATTTGGTAGAACTTTGTTACAGTCTGTATTCCAGACAATGAGGAGACAACTATTGGAGAAATTTCGTGCCGAGAAGGATAGGATGCCTGTTGAAAAAAGAACGCTGGTTTTAACACATTTTCCAAGGTGAAATAATACAGTATTTCATTATTCACCCCATCCCCCACCTTTAATCCCCCCTTTCCCATTCAATTTTCAATAAAATTACAATGTTTCATTATCTACCCCTCCCTACCTTCCCCCCATTCATTGTCATTTGCAAATAAATTTGCTTTAGAATTTAGATTCAGTATCTATGGAAAATCATTTTCATTTAGAGACAAGTCTTGAAATGATTGAAGCTGCTAAAATGATTTATCTTATTAATACATTATATTAATATTAAGAAAAAATCTGTGTTGTTTCTTATTCTGATATACCATATTGTCACCTAAGTGCAGTAACCGTTTCACTCCTTATATAGTTTAATAAGAGTTAACCAGTTACTGCATTTACTAAGGTAAAGATATGTGCATGCCAAGAACTTTGGGAATTCAAACCCAATCTGGTAAATATTCAAGCAATAGATTCTTAATTATCAGTAAATAAATAAGATTATTGTTTTGAGTATTTATGTTTGTGGAAGCTACATTACCTTATTGTAGAATCAGGTATTCAATATTACTTCCAGGTTTCTAACCATGTTAGAAGAGGAAGTGTACGGTGATGGTTCGCCTATCTGGGATACCGAGTTTTCTCAGGCCAATGTTAATAACACAGGTGCTAATTCAGGTAAGTACAAGCCAAACTGAAATGAGCTGTGTCACGACAAAATCAACATAATGGGTTTGCCACCAGCATGGATCCAGACCAGCCTGTGCATCCATGCTGTCTGATCAGGATCCATGCTGCTCGCTTTTGAACCTTTTAACAAGTAGAGAAACTGATAGCGAACAGCATGGATCCTGATCAGACAGCACGGATGCGCAGGCTGGACTGGATCCATGCTGGTCGCAAACCCATTATGTTGGTTTTGTCATGGCGTGGCTCAATTATGTTTTTAAGAACCTATATTACTGTTAATGCAATGTTTAATTTAATAAAGGGCAAATCTGTTACACTAACACTAGTATAGGATAATAATACGATATGAAATGAAATATGTTGAATGATTGTAACCTGAAACTACAAATTTCAAGTTTAACATGTCTTCTTATATACAAATACATTGTAGCTTTTGCTTATTTGATTTTATTTCTTCATATTTAAATTTAAAACAATATTTTGAACACTTTTTATCTAATCAATTATTAAACAGAATGTTAAACACGAAGTGTGCAAGTATCATACTTGTGTGAAATTCATGCATGGCTGTTGGAAATCTTTCACCATTCAGAACAGTCAGCAACTCAGCCGATGCCAATCCACTGGGCTTCATATGATAAGTGTAATTTTTGTTATAATTGTATAATTTGGACCAAAATTTTTCTGCAAATTGGAGGTATTGGAATTACAAACTTCAAATAATACCTTTAAATTTATGTTAATATACATAGTGATGAGAAACAGTACCGTGCCTACACCTTGGATAATTTCTAATTTTTCAAATAAAAGGTCATCAAAAAACAAGGGTTTAACTATATAGAACTTAAATAATATCATTTCTTTATTTGTTTTCTTGTTTTGAGTAGATGCCAGTTCAGTCGCCAGCTCTGAGAAATCAGATGACAAGAATTGTACACCTGTCGCTTTACGTAGATCGTCGAGAAATGAGGCATTGGCAGGTTTGTACAGTGGTATGTCATTTTAACTCTTCTTATATATTGTGAAAGTTTTATTGATTTACTAAAATGGTTGTTTGATAAATGAATAAAGGTCAGAAGAATTTAATGTTAGAATTAATTATTATCACATAAACCGCAGCACAGGATTGTAAAAAAAGCCTTTTAATAAAAATAATATTACACTTGTGTAATGACACTTTTGCTTTCCATACAAATACAGTGTAAAAGCGGTCTAATTTTAGCGTTTTACTGTAGGCGCGTCAATGAAAAATGACTCTTTTTAACAATTTCCATGTTATTATTTTAGAAATGTGATAAACGCAATAATATATTCATGTAGATTCAATACTAAATTTATTGATCTTGTTGAATTATACAAAATTATGCTCTCCAGTTCGGGCTCGCATGATATAATTTTATTAAGCTTGTTCAATAAATTTAGTAAATTTATTAAATTTAAACTCATTCAATATACTCTATATGGAATATGATTTAACACTTGAATTCCTATGTTCACCTCCACCCTTCTGAATTTTTACACTGGACTAGTCCTACTCTGAATTTGTAAAATGGACTTGTCCCACTCTGAATTTGTTAAATGGACTTGTCCCACTCTGCATTTGGAACTGTCCATTGTAATTTTAAGGGATTTTTATATCAGAATTGTGAAATTAGGCAGTCAACAGTATAGAACAATGTCAAGCAGTACTTTGTTGTTGAAAATATTATTCTGGCAGTGTGACTTGATCACAGATTTTGATAAAAATAGAAATTGATAAATCCCTGTGAAAGATAATGTATTTTGCAGCTGATTAATTATGCCATATATGTAACCATAGGGTTTATTTTATCTTGATAGAGAAGAGAAAGTTGGAGGAAGTTTTAGTGCCAGAAGAAGTTAAAAAGCCAAAGATTGACGGAGATGTTCCCATGGATCTTATACAAGAGATTGTAGCCACGATCAATGATCCAGAGGAGATGGTTGGCCCAGATGTGAGTTACTTAAAGGCACATTATGCCTTAGAAATCCATATTTATTAAAACTTTTAGAAATATCAATCATGTCTTTTAAAAATTATTTAGAGCATGTTAAATGTTTAACAACTTAAGAAAGTAGCGCAGAATGTACAATAATGTGTCGTAAAGGTAACAAAATGTAAACAAAGTAGAATTTTGACTTTCATACAAAATACTAATTCATTAAAATTACAGTATACCAATTGACAACAAATCAAAAGAAGCAACTATAATTATGGCAAATGAATATTTTTTTTGGAATTTGTAACAAGATGCCAAAAATTAAAGGTGTTTGAGGATTAAAATTGATAGCATTTCTGAGGCATAATAGGCATTTAAGTTTCCAAGAATATACTAATAATTTTTTAACAATAGGAGTATATTATCAATTGATCACACACACATCTATACCTGTTAAACAAATTTGACAAAAACGGAATAAGTTTGTTCAAACTCAACATACATCATATATTAATCCAATTCTGTTGAAAAATGTAAGCTTATTTCATACTATCATCTTTTCACTTCTCCAACAAGTCAAGTGTTTTATGTATTTGTTTTTATTTTCAGTCTTCGCTCTTCCCTAGTCATGCATCAAGAGACGAAAGTGCAAGAAATGAAGAGAAAAAAGGTGTAATAGAATTTCATGTGATTGGAAACTCACTGAGTAGGAAACCAAGTCGGCAACTCCTAATATGGCTTATAGGTAGGTGTAATATGATTTGTAATTACTTTAGAGATAACTTGTCAATGGTGACCATTTGTTTCAACTGACTGTTGTAAAATTACCAGTAGCTTTTATCATGATGTTTTTTTCCACCCACACTTGAATGAAATGGTGAAAGTGCTGTACAAAATCATGTCCCAAGAAAACTTATAAATTAAAAAGAATAAAGGATGTAAAACACACAAAACAAAGTTGATCATGCCTTTTAAAAAGGCACATTAAGGCTCAGGAATGAACATTTTTTTTTTCATTATGTAAAAAAGAGGTAACATGTGTTTTATGATGTTGTATTAATGGATGAAGAACATACAAGAGGCAGATCATCTGAAGAAAATGGCATGTATTCCATTTTAAGTTGTTTTCCGTATGATTTATAAGTTAGATAATTTATTACAGGAATGCAGAATGTCTTCTCACATCAGCTTCCTAGGATGCCGAAAGAATACATTACAAGACTAGTTTTTGACCCGTAAGTTGAAAAAATAAAATTATAAGATCTTCGTGCTTAATTTGACTTTAAAGCAGTATGCCTCCAGATTCAATCTAATTTTCATGAAAATTTTGAAAATGTATTTAAAAGTAAAATGTTGTGAAGTGAACAAAGTTAGTAATTTACACATTGCAAATGGCACTTACAATCCATGTTTATTACCAAAAAATTAGTCAAAATATACATAGATACCGCTTACTGCGTTAATATTGCAGCAGAATTATAGTGATTGATAGGGCAAAATCAGTCATTAATCACACATAACATGTAAATAATTAACTAAATATTGAATCTGTTTACTTTTCTAAAGATCTTCGTACATTTTTCTAAAGATTGAATTTCTTAAAATATTTTTGCTCGTCTGGAGGTGTGCAGCTTTAACCCTTTTCTTGTAAAATGTTGAAAAGGGACTTATCCATATTTCAATGCAGACAAAACTATTTATACTTTCAGTGAAGGTCATAATCAGATGGCACAGATCTGATCTTGGTCTGCACTGGTCACATGCTTAGATTCATTCACTGCCTACAGTTTAAGGCCTGTTATATGTTTTTTTTATCTGAGGAATTCTCTTATTTCTCAATTATAAGATAAAAAATGATAAATTCTTTCATGCACATCCTTTGTTGTAGTATTTTTAAGACTTTAGTGTTAAAAGCTTGAATTGATGTCAATTCAACAGCAAAAAGGTTTTTCAAAGATAACATATAAATACTGTATATTTGAAGAACAACATGGCAGCATGTAAATAAAAATTTAGAATTTAAAAACAACAAAGGAGGCATAGGCCTATTCATATCTGTACTCTTCAAAGATTGTTTTACAGATTTTTGGACTATTCTTGATGTTTTTATCGTATCTATATATACATGTGATGTTACACAATCTGCGATGTGATATACATGTAGACTCTAAAAATAGCCAGTGATGTAAGGGTGGAAAATGATATATTACATACATTAACATCGCCTGACTCCTCTAGACAAATATTATGACATTTTCATATGGATATGATGAAAAGAATGACTTTCATAATGGTGATTAACCAATATTTGATAATAGAAATGGTTTAAGGGAAAAGGTAAAACAGCCTTTGAAAACTGCCCAACTACTTATATACATTGAGCATTACCCATACATGCCCAAGGATATTTATAAGATTATTTTGTAAAATTGAAAACTTATATGCCAATATATGAACTGATTTTTAATTTTACACATTCAGCCACTATTAATATCACTTTAACGAATCCCACAGATTGTTCTGACTATAACCAGAGTTAACTCTTAGTACAGATAAGTTTTGTTTGTACTTAATTTTGCCACAACAACATCATTGTCCATAAAAATGTTTTATTTTATCTTGACTAAATTGCAGGAAACACAAGTGTCTGGCATTGGTAAAGGATAATAACGTTATTGGTGGTATATGCTTTAGAATGTTCCCATCACAAGGGTTTACAGAGATTGTTTTCTGTGCTGTTACATCTAATGAACAAGTTAAGGTAAGAAGTTAGATTTAACTTAAGTTTGTTTAATCATTGAAAAAGTATTAAAGGGATATTCAGGCAAAATAATGACAAAAATATTAAAATGATCTTATGTACTCAAATCAGGCTAAAATGACGTTTCTTGAAGTTTCAGCATGAATTTCTGTTTGAATTTTATATATTTTTGGTTTGAAACGTAAATATATCTATATATATATGTTCAACAAAATTTAGACGCCAATAGAATCACCAAATAGTTTTAAAACAAATCAGGTGACTTGAACAAACCGTTTAAGTTACAATAACAGATATTTTGGATATTGTATGATTGAAACAAGTCTATGTCATTCATTTGAAATGTTATTTAACGTAGTTCACTTTGACAAATATTGCGAAATCATAGTGCTCTAACCTGACCCACGCGAGTCAAGTTAGGAAACCACCATTTTATTATTTATATGGAGAAAAGTTTTGTTCCATTTACTGTCTAATATATTCATTTTGAGGGCATTTACAGAATAATGAATGAAAAATACAAAATTAAGAAACAAAAATTTTGCCTGTGTCTCCCTTTAATGTGTTTTAAGATCTAGAGGAATTGAAATTAAAAAAAAAAAATGCTCAAAAGATGACCATCAAATCATATTCATAATCATATCCACTCAGCATGTGGATCAACTTTCGAGTTAAATAAAAAAAGAACTGACAGTTTTCAATTTTCACTGGCATTTTGCTAGTTTCCTGGTGTTAAATTTGAGACGTTATTTTAGAAAGATTTGTCTTTCTATTTGTGAACGATTATATGCAGGTGTTTTTGGAGGTAAAGCGCGAGGAAATCTTTTTTTGGTATCTTATATATGCATAGCCAGTGGTTCTTCTTGGATTCCTGTTAATATCTCAAATAGTTATGGGGTCTTGGTATGGTAAAACACAAAAGCCACTGATTAATCTTAAAGTGTCAATGTCAAAGAAGATATACATCCTAAGTGTATAATCAAATATTAAAATAAACCTATTCAAAACGTGATCTTTATAAGCATTTTATTAACAAACATAAACATAAAAAATCCATTTGTTAGTATATTTTTACCCTTTTTCATGGGATACTTTATGTCCTATGATAAAAATGAATTTTCTTGCTTGATGACTTTACACTTGTTATACACAGTTAGTTTATTATTGTGTGGTTGAAAGGTTACAATCTTTTGAAGAAATTGTCTTGAATAATGTGTAACAGTATTTGTGAATAATGAGTAAAAATATTGCATGGGTAAATAACAGCAAACATGGTTTGTATTTCAGGGATATGGAACTCATCTGATGAATCATCTGAAGGATTATCACATTAAACACAACATTGTACATTTCCTCACATTTGCTGACGAGTTTGCCATCGGGTATTTCAAAAAACAGGTATTCTTGCTTGAAAACATTTTTTGCTTGAATTTGATATTTAGAATTACTGGCAATTGCTATACTTTCTCATTATTAATTTGATGTGACTTGTTAACAATTAAGACTATTCGTCACAACAAATTCTGCCCATACTACCAGTGTAAACCTTAATCAGCTGGCACATCATTCTCTTGTGGAGTATTTAGTAGTTACTGGTTAGTTAACTAGAAAAGCCACTTAGATGGATTGACTGCCAAGGTATGACCAAAAAAATGTGTTGAAATAAGAGTAAATACAGGAAACTAATATAAAATATGATACACGAGATCAACAAGGTAAGACTTCTTTCAATGAAGGTATTCCCCCAATAAAACCCCTAATATTGAATTCCACGCTCAAAACTGGACAAATCCTGTAATATAGATGTTCGGGTTAAGTTCTATAGATGAAGGAGAAGTATTGATTTACATGTGTTTAAAATGTAAAAGTTGATAAAATAAAGTCACTAAACTATAGTCACTTACATGTACATGTATATGTTTTTTCTTTGACAGGGTTTCTCCAAGGACATTAAGCTACCAAAGTCAGCTTATCTAGGATATATCAAGGATTATGAAGGGGCAACACTTATGGGATGTGAACTTAACCCTAGAATCTGCTATACCGAGTTCTCTAAGACAATACGCAAACAGAAAGAGGTGAGATTATCAGTAATTTAAGTAAATTGTAAATTCATGTTTCAAAAAACAGTTTAGCGCGGAGGTTGGTAGTCTAGTACTGGTGTAGCTCTTCAGGAACGATGGTTAGGTAACTACCCGCCTATATGACTGAAATACTGTTGAAAAAGGCGTAAAATGAAACAAACAAACAAACAAATCAAAATACAGTAGAACTTCCGTAAGTCGAAGTTGAAGGACTTGCGTAACAACTTCAACACATCGGGATTTCGACTCATGAATTGCTCTCAATTCCATGACAAAATTTCGACCCGTGACAAGTTCTAATTACAAGATCTATAACGAAACCTATTTCATGTTTTTCCATCATTTATCTGATATTTTACATTTTACAATGATAAATATAGCATGTTAAATAACTTTTTTCACGGCTAATTATTTGAGCTTCCCGTTGACGTATACAATAGAGTTACAAAAGGCGTAACAATACGAAAGTCCGATAACTAGACCAGCTTA